AAGCTTGGGAGACAAGGCGGCAGCGGCAGCCAAGAGCGAAATCATGACGGGAGACAAGCTTGGGAAACAAGGCGGCAGCGGCAGCGGCAGCCAATTTCCGCAATCAGGAACCCATCCATTGAGAAGTAAGAACCCCTATAGCTTCGCTATCTGGGGAAAAAACAAAGAACATTAAACAAAATACACCACACCAAAATACTGGGCCTTCAGCAAATCATCTACCCAAATCCCACAACGTCCAGGCGCTCCAGGCCCAATCACTGCTGTCCGACTCCACTCCGAGGCTTTGCCTGCACCGAGGCGGCAGCTCGGCGGCGGCTCGGGTTAGTTCCAACAGACTTGTGAGCTTCTGCGAGCGACCGAACCTGAAAGGCAGGAACCTGAAAGGCAGAGCAGCTGTTCCTCTGCAAGAACTCGGTGCTTTTCATGGTTTTTGGCGTTCTATGTTAGTCTGTAAGGGTGAACACCCGTGTTTGAGCTGGAGGGAAACTATGCTCCGAAACCCTCCGGCTTCTGAAGCACGGCGGATGCTCCGCACATTCTCCGTGTTGAACCCTAGACCAGCACCTGACGACAACAGGTCTCCGCAAACTTTAAAGTCGCAGGTGGTGACCTAGCAGGTTTTTCGGGTCCTGGTCGAAGTCCAGTTCAGTGTCTGTGTTCCAAGAAAGACGCCCAACCGTGCGACTGGTCCAAACGCGCCAGTCGCAAATGGTGGGGTCGCAGAGCCGAAAGCGACACTCCGACACCGCACAGGCCACACGCCTGGGTAACTCCAACAGGAGGATCCATTGGAGGCCCAGTCGCCTCAAGGCTCCCGGCATCGGAGGCCCGCTGTGAAAACCGATGGCGGTGGTAGAGTGAGATCAGCTTCTCCCCACAGCAACCGGGCGAATTCGGTGCAGGTCTACAAGCGTTGTTTTGTTAGGTGCTGGCTGCTGGCAGTATATAGTATCTGCACTGTTCAAATAAAAAAGAACAAGCTGAAAACCTGGAAAACCAGGCACAAAATCCATTGAGTTCAGTCCTCGAACGGCAGCACCTTTTCGGCCGCACCGTCGCTCTGGGAGCCCCTCACATGGATCACATGAAGTTCGGTCTGCGGCCCGGGGGAGGTTGTCCCGAAGCCCGCATGGCTGCAGTTTTGCGGGCGTGAATAAGACAGGGTGTCAAGCAAGGACAAAGGGTTGTTTGAGTCAGTCAGAAGCACCAGCTAGCCCATCCTGGCATTGGAAAGCAAGGTTCCTTTCTACCCAGAAAACAAGGCAGAAACCAGCGTCACTCAAGGACTTCGCACGTTCTCCGTTTTGGTGCTAACTCCCGGAGCTCGAGCTTTGTCGCCGCATCACCATGGCCAGCTTCCACTTGAAAGGGAACCAATCTGGAAGACACCTCCGCGCGGTCTCCGGAGACCGCCGTGGCGAACACCTTCTCATCGTGGGGTCGTTGGTTCGTTGAACACCAGAGGTCCATGTTGGTGAACACCTCAGACTTGTTCATTTCCGGCCTTTCGGCACGAAACCTCGCCCCAAACAAGAAGCCCAGTCCACCCGCCCCCCTTCGGTTCCCTCCACCCGGTTCGGTGCCCCGACCCCCTTCCCCCAAGCCACCGGAAGACGGACCAAAAGAGGCTTTCGGAGGACTCCCACAAGGCCTGCGCCGGCACGACGTGGTTTGAGACCGAGAAAATGACCCTTCTTGGCGATCTCCATCTGCTTGCATGGTACATGCAGGCTGCCTGAATGCATGCATACCCTAAGGAAATTGGCAGAAATCCATGCTGGTCAAGAGCAAACAACGAGAACCCTTCGCTATACGTTTTCAGGACAAAACACCATATTCCCATCAAAGGCTTATAATACAAAACCAAAAGAAAAATATAAAAGAGTGAATCCATTGGCCACTTCATATCTTATCTGGATTTATTACTGGTTGTTTTGTCTTTACCCTATTCATAATCTATATTTTTTAATTTGTCCATTGTCAACTCGCATGTTCCGTTGACTCCTTCACTGGCCCTCCCCTCTCTCCTAACCACCCTCTCCACGCCGTGCCGCGTGCGCCATGCCGCACCTGTGCCCCCATGGTTCCCAGGAGTAGGGCCACGCCGCAGGCCAGAGCTGACATGGCACCGACCAAGGTTGGACCCAATGGACCGAGCATCAGCTTGGACCACAAGGGCTCCTGCCAGCACGGAGCACGGAGCACCGACCACGGCACCGACCGGGTTTTGGGCCGGTTGAGCGGTTTTGGCAGGCGCAGCTTGGGCTCTGGAGTGGTTTTTGAAAGGGAAATGATTGCAGTTCTTCTGATCCTTGTGGGTGAAGAGCCGCACCTTCAAACTCATGGGGAGGAGAACGGCCCGGGGGCATCCACGGTCCTGTCGTTCGAGCCGTTCACAGCGCTCCTCTGGCAGATCTCAGGTTGGAAGGAGGGGACGATCCAGCCAATGCCAAACCAACTGCACATTGACTCTGCCAGTTGGTTGAAACAACGACTCTGAGACATCCGTGAGACTCGCAGGTGTCGGATGATCAGTAGGCTACGGCTATGCCGCTATATAAAAGGTCAATCCCAAAGACATGTAAAAAAGAATCTGTTACAACTAGGAGCAAGGACGCTACTAGGAGCAAAGGGCATCGCTACTAAGAGCCAGGACGCCTCCTGGCATTACTACTAGGAACAAGAAGCTACGAACGGAACAAAGGGCACACTGTTAAACTAAGCTCACGGGTTCCATCGAGCTGATACGGTCCAAGAACTCAACTCAACGTCCGGTCTCCTGCGCCTCTTTTCGCCTGGCACGGCCAGCGAAGAAACCAGGCACGTCACTTGCAGGAGCACACCCCACCCATGAACCGGCTTGCATGTTCGTTCTTCAGCCAACACACAGGATCTTAACTTGAATGAAAAAGGTGACACGCGTGGGTGTGCGTGTGTGGGTTGATATCCGCTACATCCTCCTCTCCAGTTCACAACAAAACTGAATGGACGTTCATCCCCATGAATTCCAAGACTTGATATTCAGCACACACTGGCACCTCAGCTGCAAGTCGTACATGCGCCGCATGCCAACGTGGAGCAAGGTGTTGTGCGCCTGGCTCAAACCCCCGCAGCTGAGGGCGGTCGTCGGGGTGTTTCGGAGTGTCCCCTTGAACGGTCGGTTGAACGGTCAGTGTCGCTATTGACCTGAGCCTTTTTGCCCAGTCGCTATTGACCTTTGTCTGGGGATGCCAATCAGGATGCCGAGCCAAAACTTAAAATTACCATCAAATCTTGATCCGGCTAGGCCAATCAGGGATACATTTGGTAACCCCCTTCAAGGACATCTCTGTTCCAATGGACCACCAAGCTTCTTATCTTGACGTGCGGCACCGCACGGGAACACGGGAACACGGGTACACTCGTCTTTGAAGTGTTCGAATGGCACCCGTTTTCAAGCACTTCCAGATGGATGCAGCTGATGCAGATGGATGGCTTCTATGCCACACGTGTGACATCTCGGACCGCAGAGCAACTCAACTGAGTCAGTACACAAAGAGCAGTCATGAGTTTCTTACAGCTGCGCACTTGTCTCAAAGAGTTGGGTAGCCACATGCTTCAGCTTACAGTGCATCCTAAAGTTTGAGAGAGGTTCCAGTTCCGGGTCACAATATATGTGAGGAGCGTCCAAGATCTGAAAGAACATGAAAGAACTGGTGTCCACTGGCTTCCTTGGGCCTTTGCAAATCCGGGCTCCATCAACTCAAATTTGTTCCGGTACATCCATGAATCCAAAAGAGGTCGCAACATTTGCTCCCTCTTTGCTTCCAACAGAGGCAAAGCACCATCATTCTTTCCCTCCAACTGTTTCCCTCCCTCCCTACCAACTGGGTCCCGACATGGCTGATCTCTTGAAAGCGCTGGGCAGCATCCGGATCTTGATGCCCCAAGGAATCTGGGTGATACTCCTCAGGGTCTAAGGATGGTCCCAGGATGGACTGGTCGACCAGAGAAGTGCGGACATGTCAATGTCAAGAATTCCGCCTGTTCCCCTGATCTCTCCCACTCTTTTGCCGCAAAACCTTGGCTGTTTTCCAGGAACTACTCTTGAGTCTTGAACCTTCCTTTTTCAACTCGCTCTCCACGACCGTTCGACTCGTCCTTGGCCAAGCGCCGGTAGGCCGCCTTAATCTGCTCTGGGCTAGCACCTCTGGGCTCCGCACTCGTTCGATGCGTCGAATGGGCCGAACGAAGACGAAGCGGCCGGAGTGCGGGCCTTTCTGCAAGCCCAGAATGGAATAGAGGTTCTCCACCTCTTTCGCCGCTTTGGCAAAGTGTCGACCTCATGAAAACAACGAAAATCGTTGGCGTGCCGTGTGCCACGTGTCGCCAAGTCGCCCATCTCCCCATGACGTGTCGAACACCACGACGACGACGTGCCCCGTGTCCGAGTCTCCGGACAGTGGGTCACTGTGAGGAGCCTCGGTAACCTCGGGAACGAGTCACCGGTGAACGAGGACGAGCTCGTCCCTGGTGAACGCAGAGTCCATCACCGGAGGGCGCCCAGTGCCCATCCAACGCGACAGGTCCAAGCGGTCCCCAAAACTGGCACAGCTTAGCGCATGGGATCTCGGGATGGTTTCTGCACCATCATATGCGCCCTGCCAGGCCTAAAGGTGATCGTCCAGGGGCCTCTCTTATCAGGAAGGCTTGTGGCAGACTGCTTCACTTGGGTGCGGATCCCCACCTTCGCCAGCCCATCCTGGATGCTGCAGCTTCGACCTGCAAACGCACTGGTGAGGCGCGGCTCAAGTTGGAGGTGAGGGGATCGAGAGGGTTTTCTCACAAAATCATTCCCAGGATTGATCCCCATCTCCTGGGGGATCGGTTGAAGGTGAAGATGGTGAAGGGATCACAATTAAAGGTCTTCTTGGATTAGATACCTTCCAGGACATGTCTAAGTATATGAATATGTATATGGTGGGAGGGATGTGCGTAGGGAGACCGGTAGGAATAGTTTATAAATGTTTCCTGCCCTCAGTTACAGGGGTTGACCAAAAATATCCAAAAATTATTCTGATGGTTAAAACTCTCCAGGAATAATCTGTTGCTTAAGCTATTCCTGAACAATTTCAACCCCAAATGGCATGATGCAAGACTACTGGCTCACATTGGCTCAACATGTGGATAGAAACCAAGAAAGGCCGATGACAAACACCCGGAAATAGATAGAACTGCTCATTTGCCCATCTTCCCGAGGGTGTCTCCGGCACCCCTGGCAAAAGGTTTTTCTTGTCAAAATTGTTCCAAAAAACCATGCACGGATGTCAGCCCTCCTAAATATTTAAATATAGCACTCCCCGTTGAATATGTATGTATCGCCACATTCCAAATACGTTCATTCCCGTAGGCTTCTTGAAAAGCCCCAAATCTGAGAGAAACCATTCGCAAGCTCGCAGGCTTTCAAAGGAATGGGTACGGTATGTTGGTGAAGTTCCTCATGTCCAAGCTGAAGCAAAGCAACGATAAATGATTTGAACAGCGAGTTCACCCGCCTTGCCGAAAATTGATGCTGTTCACAGGGCCATGGGTCTATGGCAGCTCCATTCCACTCACCAGTTCAGTTGCAAGCAATTAACCTCTTCAGCCATCTTGCGTGCAGGATTTCTGAAAAGTGCACCCCCTCAGACAGATTACATGAAAAGTGTCCCTCGCAGTTGATTGACGGTGCTCTCCACATCATGTCTTTTCAGCTCTGTCACGACGCTGCGAGCCAAATGCAAGTGTAGAAGAACCACAAGACTGCCACGACTTAACACGTGGATGCACTGAAGCACCGTCCAGTTCCTCGATCCGGTGATCGTCAGCCGGTCAGCCAGTGATCGTGCGGGGGAGGTCGTTGTCGCTCCTCGCCTCGATGTAGAAGGTCTCCTTCTTGGCCTCTTCTTTTTCTCGGGTGGCGAAAAAACGCTTCCGCCGATGTGCTCGGCGATGTGCTCGGCGGGACCCCCCAAAACACGGACGAAGGACACCGAAACTCGTGCGGCAGCGACCTATTGGGTTTTGGCCTCTTTTTTAGCGGTGTGAGGTGTATTTTTGGTGTCCCATGCGGTCCCCCCCAAGAAGAATCCAATCACAATCTTCCACCTGGGCTGGCCATGCGAGTCTTCTCCATGTCCATCGAAAGATGCTACCGCTTCCGGGCTGTTCACCGCTTCCCACCGGCGGTCACCGCGGTTCCGCAGAACGGCGCTCGCTCTGAAGCCACCGGTAGCACTTCCGGTGCCTCCGCCGCTTCCAGAAGACAGCGCTCCACCAAAGGATTCACCTCAGCTTCGGCGGGTGCAATGCCTCGTGAGATTCAGATTCAGCACCTTCCTGAGCCAATCAAATTCACAGCTGGTGCCTTTCCAGAAGGAAGAAAGGGAATGAAGTGGAACGTGACATGAATGTTTGGAACACGTTCCATGGATGTGGCAATCCACTCACCCGAAATCCTCCAAACCCCACGCGTTCCGAGTGGGTTCCCCCTATTGGACCCATGTGGAATTCGGCGATGCCTTGCGGTTGGCGATGTGGCACTCACTGGCGTAGATCTTCAGCAAAGCCTGGTGTGGACGAGGCAAACCTGGAGGTGCCTTCCACAGCACTTCATGGCATCACATGGAAGGCTTTGATAGACGTAGCACCTCTGTAGCATCCATGGCAGAAACCCTTTGAGGTGATTCCAACATGAAATCCATTGTAACAATCGTCCCATCGAATCTAGGCTTGACACCTGGAGCCAAGGCTTCACACCTCTCGTTCCCCACCTTCGATGGCTGTTACCACTATGCTTTCGAAGCACAACATCCAAAATGAGACTTGAATCTCCCAAAAGAGCCTCGCACCTGTGGATTCTTCACCTCTCCACTTCTTCACCTCCCTCCGTCGTCCCCCACGTGCGTCTTCCGCGCGCGCGTCGCGCGTCCCGGGGCCACCGAGTCGGCGAGATAGGATTGCAGCCCACTGCCCCCTGCGACGATCGCCAAGCTCATGAGCTGGCACGGCAAAACATCCCCAAAACGGAGGAGCTTCACGGAAGTTCCAAGAGAGATGTCAAAGTTTAAAAGAAAAAGAAAAAGAGTTTGTTCTTCTTGAGCTGGCATACACCTCTGGGCCGCTCTTCAGAGAGAGCTGGTTCCACTTTTTCCAGCAGAAATGCCGTGGAATCAACCTGCGCGGACTGCCTGCTGTGGGGTTCTGCGCGCGATCATCGAAACTTTGGATGATCAGTATGCCAGTGGCTTCAGCTGATCGGCAAGTGCTATGGTTAGTTGCATCTTATGCTGCAGGCGTATACTATCTAAGGACTTGTTCAAAGCTTTGCAGCATAGTAACCAGTAGGGAAAGTTGCTGATAAAACATCGGCCCAGAATTTCTTTGTTTTCAGACCCATATAGGTACCACAACACCCCCCACAAATTTTTGGCTTTTTTGATTTTTGTTGAAGTTTTATGTGGCCACTGCAAAAAGCTCATTACGACTGGCGTGCTGCCATTGATCCTTTACATGCTAAAAAAAATTTCCCACGATAGCATAAGAAAAGGGAGCTGCTGCCCTGGGACTCAACCCTGTCATAGTGCTCAGCCGCTCAAGTGGAAGGAGAAGGAGGAAAGGATAGGAAGGATCCGGCAAAAAGATTTACTGAGGCGTGGTGTTGTGAGGGCGTTGGCAGTGTGAGCGGCACCTCTTTTGCCAGGTGTGGTCACCGTTTGAGAAGCGCAGGAGCTTTGTGTTTTTCCAGTAGCAACTGCTTTGCGCCGCCCACTGATACTGCCGACAGATGCATTTCTGCCACGGGTAAAGCTCGAATTGGAGCTGCCGCAGTGACTGAGAAGGTAAGACTCTTACTCAAAAGTCTTCACTTCAGCACCTTTTGGTCGAAACCTACACATGGGCTCCAAGTGTCTCAAGCTCCGTGTTTTAGACGGCTTCGATAAACCCTAAAACCATAATACTTGAATGCAGCCTGAAGCCGTTAAAAATAAAACCTCACAAATAAATCGATTACCTGCCCCTCTAAGCCCTTCCAAAATTGACTATTCTTTGATTGCTTGGTCACCCCCTTGCAGGATACAGCTTCCACCAAGCAGACTCGTGCACCCCTACCTAATTCTATACATCCCCCTATCAACAGCTTTTAGACTTGCACTCTCACTCCATAGTCATTGCTCCAGCAGCAGACATTTCTATTAGATTGAGTATCAGAATGTGGGATTGAACAGAGAGAGAGAGAGAGGAAGACACCAGTTCCTCAAGAGTCCGTTTTTGGAGCATGGGAACCACCTCAAAGATTTCAGGTGCTGGTCCTTGCAGGGTATTTCAAGTGGTGAACCTCATGTCCCTTCGTTGCCATGGATCCTGCGGCATCCTTTTCGACTGAGGTCCTCCTGTGTCCGTTTCGACTGCGGAGTTTCTGCTGTGGGGCTGGGGGCCCAAGTCTCTTCCCACGTACAAGTAATTGCTTCAAGTCAAGTGGTTAAGACATGATGTCACATGATTTCTCAGTTGCAGACAAACCACTTGCGGTGGACCTCTATCTGATCTGCCGTGCAGTCGTGCATCTGCTGACCCGCGTAGTCTACACCAGCCAGAAGTCACCCTGTCGGCCGAACTGACAGCAGTTGGCATGGAAGATGGTGCAGGTTCCGCATGCCTGGCCCAGTGCAAGCCGAGCAGAGCGGGACTGAGAACTGGGCCCTTTGATCAATCAACATGGGCATGATGGATGTCCTACCAATAGGGGCTGGGGAAGATGAGAACTCCCATTGCCAAGCCTGGTGAGGGTATGTGAGCTGCTGAAGAATGAGGAAACGTACCACACACAAAAAAAAGGGTACTCAGTACCACGCAAACCCTTCCTTGATGTGCGTCAGCACCCCCTCTTCTCCTTGGATGTACGCAGTCCCCTCCTTGAAGCGGCATTTCTGCCATGGCTGAAAGCGAATCTGCTCGGAACTGGTCATGAGACCTTTGCGCCCAAACCCCTACCATTCCTTCTAGGATCTTCGTTTTCACTACAAGACCCCGGGAGTGTGATTGGGACGCGGCCAACCCACCCGCCAACCAAACATTCCAGTTGGACGTGCCTCAGAAGAGGAAGTACTTCCGAGCCAAGGGCACAGAGTCCACTGGCCTGGGCACAGAGTCCACTGGCCTTGAGTCGGCAGCTACCACCAGTTGACTTCGTTTGGCAGCCACCTTTCACTCCACCACAGAATGTCCATTCAGCTCCATCCAATAGCCGATCTTTTGCCAACAACTCGGTCACGGGTCAACCCCCGGCTCAGCGGTCTCCGCTCGCATGGTACCCTCCATCCAGTCACGGCGGTTTTGCCCCTCCGTCCAGTCCGCCGCAGAGCCCCTCCAACAAAACCGGTCGAGCAAAATCGGTCCATCTCTGAGGGGTTCCAGCTCGCAGGTCAGCTTCTCCCCATCGGCCGTGACCTCGAAGGTCTCCGGATTCACACCTCCGCGCCAGCGCGCCGCGCGGATCGGCGGTCGGCAAGCGATGAGCGGCGGCACCGGTGCTTTTTGTGGCAAAGGGACAAAAAGGAACGCAACAGGCATCTTCCTGGGGTCACTACGTGTCACTACGTGTCGCTACCTTGTCACTTCAGGTTGCTTGGAGCAAAGTCAGTTGAGACCCGATTCGCGCATCTCCAACGTCGATTCGACCGATTGGACCTCTTCGACCAAATGGATGTCGAGATGTTCGTCCCATGTCCCACGCTCTTTTGGGTGCGGAGCTAATCGTAGGCGTGGCATCATTCAAGACCATGTCCTGTTGCTGCAAGCAGAAGTCGGATACCGGATACCGGGTAAGGGATCAAAAAATAAAAACAGACTCAAACAAAACCTATTCAACGGGGATCAATGAAAAAAAAGGAAATCAAAAAAGAAAATATTCTAGCCCACTGTAGTAGTAGTAGTAGTAGTAGCAGTAGTAGTAGTAGTAGCAGTAGCAGTAGCAGTAGCAGGATTGGAGACCAAGGGAAGAGGATGGAAGGAGTAGGGGACTAGGAGCGTGTACCTCCCTAGGAGCTCCTTCCTCGTAGGGAGCTATTTCTACTGGTGAACCATTTTTCGAGTAGGGCTACTCAATGACTGGACGGCTACCATCACTTTCCTCCCAGGGAGCTGCCTCTAGTAACAAGCAATCAAGCCTCTATTTGCGCAAGCAGGGGACCAGGAGACCGAAAGACGAGCGGAGTAGGAGAGCAAGAGACCAGCGGACCAGGAGACAGACGGACCAGGATACCAGGGGACCAGCGGACCACAGGACCAGAGGACCAGGAGACCGGAGGACCAGGATACCAGGGGACCAGCGGACCACAGGACCAGAGGACCAGGAGACCGGAGGACCAAGGGACCAAAGGACCAAGGGACCTTATTACCAGAGGACCCGCAGACGACAGGGCCAGGAGAGCAGCAGAAGAGACCTATCAAGGAATACATTGTTTGGATTCGCATTTTTTTTGTTGATCCTATTTTTTTTTTTGTTTGATGCTCTTTTTATGTTTTATTTGATACCTATGCCCCGGATACCCCTGATCTGCGGGATTACACTCGAAAGAATCATGCTCACTATACAACCACTCATCGAAAAGGAGGAGCAGCTTGTCTCTATTGGCTTGGTCTTTCCCAAAACAGACCTGTTTGGATAGGAAAATGGTCGTCCAAGGAGCCATGCCATCCACTTCCATGATTATTTCATGGAGTGTGTATGACTCGTGAAGAGTTCGTCCACACCTGCGCCCTAAAAGGAGTCAGTTCAAATAACCGCAGATTAATGATGTAAAAGGCTCCTGGCCTGGTCGGATGGATATGACTCCTGGATTGTGTTTGGATGATGTGTGTTCTATTCTGATACAAATCCAACCAATTCTCCACCGAATTCCTCCGCCGTTTGGCTTCCAGAAGAGACCTCCATCGGTGCATTCTGTCCGCCAAGGCTTCCAGCCCGCTCCTTCTTCTGCACACTTCGAGTGCCTTTCACCGCTTCAATCTGCTTATGCAGCCCATAGGAACGCACCAGAGCGGGTTCCTGTGCCACAGATGACTTGGTGGCTGCATGAAGGTTTTTAGTCCAGAAACAGCAAGACATGAATCGTGGTGACAAGTGAATGGCAAGAGATCGAACTCATTTGGAGTCCAAAGCTTTGTGAATGTAGACCTTTTGGAGAAGACATGAATGAAGGTCAGCTCCGCTTTCAAAGCTCCTTAGCTTGGTAGAGACCGGCACACCGGCACACCGGCAGGTGGCTTCTTTCGGTGCACATTAAGGTGACGTCTTCGGCCTCTGCAGCATCCTTGGAGACGAAGCTCAAGCAAGTGGAGCCTTGGGAGCGAAGCAGCCAGGGAGGCCCCTTGGGGGGGCCTTGAGACCATTTTTGGTGCAAAAAAAGGAAACAAGGCCTTCATGCACTAAGACTATCACTGTGACTATCACTCTATCACTCATGGACTTCACATGCACTAGTCTTAAACATGCACATTCACTAAGACGATCACTCATGCTGGTGGCTAAACAAAAACTTGAACAACATCACATGGATGGCCAGGAATGGAATGCATCGAAGCCTTTCCGTCCATGAAGAAGCCTGATGGCAGTGCTTGACCTCTCTCAGACTGCCTCCATGCCATCCCTTCATCAACCATGCCTGCCATGCCTCTGGGAGGGACTCACCAAGTCTACTAAGCGCCCTCACCAACGGCCTTTCCAAAGCTGCCGAACATGGGTCGCATGAGCACGGGCTGTGGCCTCGGCCCGGCCATACGAGAGCAAGAGCTGAGATCTGTGTGCGAGTGTGTGGTGTATCTGTGCGTGAGTGTGTGGTGTATGTGTGTTTGTTTGTGTGTGTGTGCGTCGGTTGCACTCTCGCCAAATCCCCACGATGTTCGACTGCTTTGGCTACATTCTGCAGGCTAAGGCTGTGGTGTCTCTGAATGACAAAGTTCTAGCTGTCCCTTCTCTGGGTCTCAGGAATGGTGTCCCTGCTAGTGGCGTCTTTGGCTGGGTGGTGATTCCAAATGCTAGGCTGCTACAGTAAACTTATCAATGTCGTCCACAAGCATGAGGCCCTGGCGGCCCTGTTTTCGAAGCCATGTCCACCTTTTGCATCCACCGGGGCTTCGGACGTGGGGATCGATGCATTGGGATCTCCCATCTGAGCCCAAGCGATGGTCCCTCCCTTAATGACCTCAGCTCGCACTAGCACAGCTGACCCGATCGGTTTGGGCGGGTGGTTTTTGGGCGCTATTTTCTCCGATGTCTTTCTGCGAAATCTGTGGGAAGCACAAGTGCTTGATTTACAGAAGAAAGTGGTCTGATATTTGCCAGGACTCCAACAGGGCCGATATCACCACACCTCTCTCTCGAAAGTCATGTACTTACTTGCATCTGAATCCTTCTCTTGGGTTGGGATCACTGGGTGTCCCCATTGGAATCCCGCATGTGAAAAACGCCGAGCATGTCACATTCTTTCTGCACCGAAGTGGCCATCTCTGGCTTGGATCCAAAGAAAGCTGGCTGCCAGAGACAAATATCTGCCAGCTTCCCCACCTGGTGAAGTGAATAGACCAGTGAGTTCTAGATACAAGTCCACCACAGACCGGACCACTAGGAGAAAGAACCAGGACATACTTGGATCTTTGTTTGAGGGATTTTTCAGCAAAAAGACCCGAAACATGCCGTTTCAAAGGCGGCCAACATGTGCTAAGAATCTAGGGACAGGGAACGACGCCGTTTTGACTCCAACAAATGCCGTTTGTTTACCTAGTTCTCTGCCATGTCACAGCAAAGGATCTTTGGGAAAACACCGTAAAGGCATCACATATATATATATATATGTGTGTGTGCTTCTTATGTTCCAAAAAAATGGCAAGTATATATTTGTGCGGTTTCGAATTATCCAGGTATCAAAAGGAAGATTGGCTTGGAATGTGTGTTCGGTCCTGTGAGTTGCTACTCCCCGCCTCCAGGCTGCCAATGGCATGTGCCATGCCATGGGCCAGGGCCGGGTTGATCGTGTACTTCGCGATGTATCTGATCGGATCGGAGGAAGAACACCAACGACCGGGTCGTCATTTGTTTCATCTAGCCTGCCCTATTCTGGCTCTCATCTCGACCCTTACACCCACGGTCCACGAACATGAGCAAAGAAGTATTTGTAGAGTCATAGGAAAACCGTCTTCCCATGGAATCACCGGTCTCCACTTGACTACATCTGATCTGCTCATGGGAGTGTTGTGGATTTCATCCAAAATTCGCCCATATCATTCTGTATCTGTATCCCCCATCAGAGTTGAGGGGTTCACTGTCTTTGGGTCTTCGCCAAGTATGGCCAGCATCTACACCCTGGAAGATTAACATGGAACACGAAAATCTAGCTTCCTCCACAAACCAGTGGTTTTCAGGTTCCGTGTTCATCTTCCACGCACCTCTTGATGCGCGTGTTGTCATTGGCCGTGTCTTCGGGTAGAGGCCCACGTTGCAGCTTCATCCTCGGGAGTCCAATGGCGCTGTGGAAGCTGAGCCACCGAGTCTTTTGGAAGAAACAGGTTCAGATGTGATGCTTCCCACCCAACTTAGAGATCGTAAGCAAGCACATCCCGAGTTTGTCCGCCTCACGGCTTGCATTCATCACCTCTTATCCGAAGCATTGGTGATCTGATGAGGAAAGATTCCCGCTTCACGAACCTCAGACCCAACCTCTGCCAAAATCGCAATCTCAGACTATGTCTAATGGGATCTCTTAGCTTGTACAATTCCGAGATCTATGCTAGATCATGCACCACCTATGCTGCCTGGGAAAACGTTTTGATCCACCCCGTGTTTGACGGCAGACCCTGTTGACGCCGTGGGGCTTGGCCGCTGTCTGCCAGGTGCGACAAATCACCTCACCCACACGGCCCATGGCCTGGCAGAGAAAAGAAGAGAACTGGACCTCTCCACCCCCCCACTGAGGCTACGAACGGGGGCTCCTGGCCTTACTATCCATCATTCTCACACATCCATCCGAAACCAGGTTCTGGATGGTTCTTGGAACACGGGGGCTTAGACTTGAGTCCTCTGACTTGGTGGTGTCTGTTGACACACATCCTCCAACTTGCTCTAGTTTGAGGACTTAAGAAAGCTTTCTGCGGGATATCCTAGGGTCAAGAATCTGTAGCTGAAGTCGAGTCTAACGCGATGTCCGACTCAGAAGAGTCACCCAAATTCAGACGCCATCCAAAGGAGTCCAGCCGAAAGACTTCATGCCATCCAGGGATCCAAGGGAAGCCGACGGCCGACGGCCTCGTCGGGATCCGTCAACGACTTTACTTGACTCGCATGAGACATGACGACTGACATGACTCGGTCAACCGAGAATGGACATGGGGAGACAGGCATGGAGACTTGACATGGATCCGAGAAAAGCACCACTGGGGCCAGCGAGGCTTGTGGTTCTTGAAAGGGCTACCTCTTATTTACAAGAACCTGCATGATCCGGCTTTGGACAGCAGTACCATCTCCCATGTCTCTGACCAAAATTGTGCTCCTTGACAAAGCCTAGAGCAGCTTGCATTGTTGCATTGCCTGGATTGGTGGGTCAGTTTGAGACCAACTCTTGTGGCAGCTCAGGTATTCAGAAAACAACTCGTGCGTTGGCGGCCGCTGTTCTTTTCCACGCGCTGTTGCCACATCTCCTCGCCCTCTCATCCGGTCCTTTTCGTCTCCGGTGCTCTCTCCTCGTCTCGTCGATCGCTCCGGTCGCACCGTCGGCTCGGTGTCCGCGAAGACGGGAGGACGGCCGCGCAGCCGCTTCGGCCGCGCCCGGCGGAGTCGGTGTCGACCACGTGGCTGAGTCGGTGCACAGCGGCTCACAGCGGCGGCACGACGCCTGGGTCAAGGAGTAGCGTCAGAGGGCCCTCTCACCTTGACCAAGGCGGCCTTTTCTCCCTTTCATACATGAGGGAGACCAAAGTCCCTTGTTGCTGAGCATGTGGCATTGGAGGAAAGAAATGGAAAACCTTCATGGCATCCTTCAATTTGTGGGATATGCCTCAGCCTGGCATCTCATGAGCACTGAAAACAACAAGGGAGTGGGCAAGCTGAAGCCGAGTTACCAGCTTCTTGTAGCGGAAGCGTCTCAGACTCGCACCTCAAAAAGTTCATACTGGAGGTTGTGGGAAGCCTAAGATTGCTTACCTGCTAGAACAACTATATATAGTACTTGTAAATCAAAGCGATGCCTTTCATCCATGCTTTTGCATGATCCTTGTTTCAGTGTACCCATTGACCCCACTCTTTTTGGGGCCAAGCCACAGCTCCATCTCCTCGTAGGGATGGCTCGCTTTGGGGCTCTCCGTGATCTGCCGGAGCCACTCCACCAGGCGTGCTTCGATAAAACGGCAGTAGAGCCCAGCCAAGAGCCAAAGCCAAAAGACGAAGACCACGAAGCCACACCTGAGGCCAGGCCAAGCGCTGAGCAAAGCGCAAAGCGCTACGCACATGGAGAGCCCAGATCGAGTCGGTGCTAAGCAAAAGACCAGGTGAGTGGGGGCTCCCCCAAGCCTCTGCCCTTTGGTGGAAGTCCAACTGATGGACCCCCCTAGACTCAAATTGAAAGAACAAGACTCACAAAAAGACATGGTGGTCTTCGGCCATTGAACCCACTGTGTTCACCAACGTCGGGCCACGAATTGTTGTTGTAGGCACCACTGCTGTTCCTCATGCTGAAGGCGCCAGAAATGTCACCAGCTGCCACAAAAAGCTCATGGATTGGATATTGGAAGAGATAGACCTGCAGGGCTCCCGACACTGTCCATGGGCTTGTCGAAACCCAAATGCACCATGGAACAGCGAGATATCCGTCCTTCTTTGCTTCCTCTCCACCACGCCTTGACCTACCTCTTTTGCAACCATGAAAAGCCTCATGTCACGCCTCAAAGCTGAACTCCCCCAGCGCCACCAAGGCCTCATGCTTCAGCAGCCGCGCCACCGATCCGGCCTCGCCCCCCATCGATCCGGTGGAGGTCTTCGCAGAGGAGCAAATGAGGAAACCAGCGAAGAGGGGCGACAGCGCATGGCCAAAGAAGGGCTCCCAGCCCTCCGAAGGTCCGAAACGGGAAGGTCGGATAATGAGGTCTTGGAGGGTTTGGCATGGTTAGGGATCTTGATCTTCCAAGATGGAAGAAGAATCGCTCGCTCCACCAACACATGCTTTTAAGAGTTGTAGTCACCGCTGATGGCAAGCTGGCATGGAGTTATATAACTATATAGTAGTTTCGGACACCACGCCATCCTAACCTCAGAAACTGCTAGCGTGTAGCAGCTGTGGCTGAGGACTGAAACCACGCCTCCCGGGCTCCAGAGGAGGGGATCAAGAAGCAGCAGAGCGCCACCAGTAGCATACAAGCATCGGCCAAGAGGCCCGAGCCGCTGCCTCCGCGGTGAAAATGATGTTTGGACCCAGGCGTAGATCCCAAAGTCAGTCCCCATGTAGACATGTCGGACATATAGGTGTGGACCAAAACAGTAGGCATGGGAACTACAAAGTGTACACTTCACACTAAACAGTATGGTGATTCATCACCCTGGTGTACACTTGAAAGTGAACAAAACAGTAGACAAATGCACAATGTAGCACATGGTTTCGAGTGCTTTTTGAACCGACGGGCACACCACTTGTGCGAGGAATGCCGGTAAGTTGTTGTCTTGATGCCGAACCGAATCCAATTTGACAAGCATGGCATACTAGCAACTGTAGTAGGAACTAAGCGGGACCAGTAGACATTCTAACCTCATTCCTGAAAAGATTGCTAGACTAAATTCAGCCAACAAGACAGAGCCACATGAAATCCCATCATCCCGTCACACCAGACAACTCCTTCCACTCTTCCATCCACCACAAAAAATTACACCACCGGAGACCCCAAACAGTTTGTGTTTTTCAAAATCGGAACACTCTGCAACTAGAGTTTGCGACGTCCAGAGCTGGGAGACAAAGAATTGAGAACCTCTAACAGTAAACTGTTTGGGGAATAAAACAAAGAGCGCCATCTCCGCAACCCACCGGCCCGGCCTGTGCGCGCCATCTCCGCAGCCACCGCGCCCAGCGCAAAGTCGGGGACTTGCGAAGGCGGCCAGATGTAGCCTCTCGTCGGTCGGTGGCGACGGTCGAGAGGGCGAGGGAACGACCGAGCGGCTTGAGCCGCCGCAACCGGCATCCCGATGTGTTCTCATGAAGACAGGAGGTCAAAGAGCACGGTATCTGTAACTTGGGGCAAACCATCCAACTAAATGCAACAACACAGATCATGGCTCCAAACCAAGCTATAGTGCACATGAGTCGCGATGTGTGAACATGTGTGAAAATATCTGAACCATGTTGAACCAGATCTACACAACACAAACAAGTAACAAGGCGATATGGCGGCCATGTTCTAGGAAAGCTCTCCTCTCGTACAATAGAACCTCCGATTCTAATTCATCCAGCCCAACGCACCAAGAAGCTCCAAATGCCCTGCTCGTTGCTGAGCCAAAACCTAAGTGGCTGTGGAGTTGGTGGAGTTGGTCGGGGCTTTCATCTGTTCCGCCTGAAAAAAACCAACGAATGATAAGACATGAATATGAAGATGAAGAAGTAGCAGCGAATTTGAGCACATCCTTCAAATCTCAACAGTGCTAGATTCACCGATGGAGATCTGAATAAGAAAGGCTAAATGTCCTTCCCCCACTAAGACCTGTGCCACCAGGGTGCCCTTGCTGGCAGTAGGCCCAGATCAAAGGCCCTACTGAAAAAAGCACCAGGATCATGGCACCAAGCGCCAGTGCTCCGCGTCCTGCGGCTGATGGACCGAAGCGTCTCTAAAACAAAAGCACCAGTTCTTTGAGCTGACTGGAGGGGAGGTCCTTTGACAGGTCTACGGGTGTTCATTTGCAAAACAGCACTCCCTGCAGGGTTTGGCCTGTGTCGCGTAGAGCTAAGATCACCTGCAGCGTCACAGGGTAGAGCAGCCAGCTTGGGAGAAGTGCTGCCACGGTCCTCTGAAGAATCGCTGGGAGGTCAACCAGCGCTCAAAGCGAACGTCATTTGGTCTGACTTCATTTGATGCCGCTGACTACGACTACTACTCTCACCACGAGCGTTCCTGAGAGCGGAGGCCCCCCCCAAAATCCCTTCGGCCGGTGGCGCTCCAGGTCTGCCCATTGGGACACCAGTCCAGTGGATCGCGCCAGGTTTCCACGAAGAGAAAGCACCGCAGCACGTGGCCCAGATCCTCAGCCGAGGAGGGAACCCACTGTGGCTTCACGGAAGTCGGCGGTAAGACCGCAGACTCCGGTCGGGTGAAGAAAGTGTCAGGTCAAGCCACCCTCTTCTCTTGAAACAGCAGGCCATGTCAGGCTCTATGCCCCGTGATTTCCAGCAGAGCTTTCTCTGGGCTTCACCCTGTCGCCGTGTTTTCCACGTCCCCTCTTGCCCAGGTGCGGGGGTATGGCCTCGCAGCTGAACCAGCAAGACGCCCAGGCCCAAGAGCATGGCGAACCAGGTGGTCAAAACCACTCGACCCATCCTCTCAGGCACAGAAGCTCGTTTGGTCCGACCATCTAATTTGGATAGATTGGGCACCAGAAAAAAAACGGCTTTTTTCGCCCTGCATTCCAAGGTGGGAATCAACACAGCTTGGGGCGGTCGGAATTTTTGGTGCGTCCTCATCTTTGTTGGGAAAGTTGGAATTGAAATGGGAGGCCATCGAAGCTAAAATACACACCCAACTCAACAAATGAATTGCCGACTGCGCCAGGCAGCGGACCAGCCTGCGCACCAAGAAGCGGACCAGCTCATCTCGATTGCAAGAGCTCAGACGCTGCGCATAGGCCCAGTGCGTCACGAAACCACTCATGATGATGAAGAAGTTCACAGCTGCATTGCCTGGAGCCAAGCGCTTTGAGTCCAAGCAACAGCATCCACCTCTCCCCAGCTCACAACCCATCCACCCTCTCCAACCGGTTCCACCTCTTCCCCATGAAAACTCACCCATCCCACCCATCCCACCCAACCCCACCCAACCCCACCCACCCACCTCGATGTCTCGCCACAGTAAAGGCCGTCTCCTCCAAACGCGGCGCGAAGTGCCCGCACACGATCCACAGCGAGGCCAAGAACCGGGCCCCTCAGGCGGCACTGCACCGGGAGTACCGGGACTCCCCCAGAGGGTGTGAACGTGTCGGAGTTCTCGGGGAATGAATGACTCTATGGTGTAGCTCCAGTGTTCTTCCTGTTAAAAGGAAACCCAAAGCTGCCAACGGACCCCTCAAGACTTCCGGCATTTTTCGGAGAAATTCCATGTTTCATGGACTTTCGCCTCCGGGCACGGAACCGCTGCTTTCACGCCCAGAACCGGTCGCAGGTCGGATCTGCAGCACAGGCACCGGTCAAATGATCCAACTTTTGGCTCGCCGGTCGGCGCTTCCCTTGAGACATCCACCGCAGATGAATCGCGGATCCGAGCTGCGACGGCGGCTTCGCCGTGTTTTGGGGGATATAGATGTGATGTGTCTCAAGAGGCAACACCTGGAGGTTGGGCACATCTGTGAAATGGCTCAAAAGTTCAATCTCTTGAGGATGTTCGGATGTTCTGGGGATCTGAGGGAGTGTTGCTCCATCCAATGACATCTATGGATCTTTCACTTGACCTTGGAGGATGAAAATCGCCCTCCTTGAGAAATCTGCTGCAGATCAGTGATCGAACCATCCCCAAGCTCTCGACCCACTCCGGCCGTCCTCAAGTTTCAAGTCTGGCACCCCCGGCAACAAAGCAAAACCACTTGAGTTGCAAGAGGTGGAAACTTGGGATTTCCAAATCCTGGGTGAAGCTCGCTTGTCATTCCTCACCCCATGCCATGCGATTCCTCCGCACCTGGGAGTCGGAGGAGATGATTGAAATCGCGCCTGTCATCGAAATCGGAGGCCAGGCACAGTCGTTTCGTGGAGAGACAGTGCCCTGTGTGCCCACCGATGTGGCTCCCCAAGCACCTGCCACTGCAGATGTTGAGTTCAAAATGGCTTTCTCACGAAGGCGCGAATTGGATTTTGCGTTGATCCATTTCCCCATGATGGCGATGTGGAAGTCCCCATCAAAGCCCGAAGTGATGGGCACCGTTGTCACTGCAAAATAAGGGAGGCACCCCTCTCTCAAGCAAGCCAGGAGTTCCCATGTCATGTAAGATGTCCTGCACACACGTTGGCAGCACAGAAACAAATGGAAAAAGCCAAACACTGAACCAAGATCGAGATACCCCAATAAGGGAAACATTGGCACCTATTCTTGAAATACATTGCTAAAGTGTCATGCAATAGCTGCCACTGTTGAGTCTAAGAAAAAAAAGCGCTGAAAAGCTGGAATATCTGGCATTGGTCGCCTTCTCTCTTGGCACTCACATGGCACCCACAAGCACCCACAAGCTCCCATGCTCTCGTCTCCTCTGCAGCGATCGTCTCCCCGCGGATCCGACTCTCCGCAAAGGCCACATCCTGGGCGCCCGAGCGATCCGACTCTCCACTCGTCGGTGGCCGACGAGTGGAAGCGACCATCGAAGTGAACAGTTTCAGGGAGATCGTGAACAGTTTCTATTGGTCACAACAATAGAACGCTCATCCACACTGCACGGTGCATCCTTGTCTTCCAGGTGAACATCAAATCTGTCCATCCATCCATGCGGCCGTCCTCTGTCCAGGGCACATTCCCACCCCCCCAAAAAAATCAGAAAAAATCCACCAGTGGCTCGTTCGTTTGCATGTGAAGAATGCATGTTTGATATCTCCAGAAGCACTTGACGCGGCTGAAGGTGGCACCTCGGGGATGTTCTTGTTAAGGTGGTGACCTCACGGCCAACCAGCTGCCATTAGGACGACTGACCAATCAACTCCTGGAGTCCCAATCAAGAATCTGAAGCAATCAAAACAATCTGAAGAAATGGAGTCCCAATCAACTCCTGGAAGGGGATGAATCTTGGCTTTCGACTTGAAAACGATCAAGAAAAACCTCACAGAATCCGTTTTGGGCTCACAGAATCCATACTTCTGGTGCTAGGAGATGGGCAAACCATCAGCATATCCAGATGCTCCTGACAGCCAAAAGCAAGAGAGATTCAGCGCACTGTGTGTTGGGTTTAACAGCTAGGATGATTCATGTTTCCAGCAACAGGGCAGGCTCCAGTGAATGTCACCCACTGGCAAGCTTTCGAAACAAGACAGAGTAGCCATCCCGAGGTCTTCATCATGTCTTTATGATATACAGTATAATGTCAGTACGAAACATGTTTCATGAGAATCATCCACTCCGCATGCCCAACCTCATCCTCATCTCTTCCGTCCGACCCTCCGTCCCGAACCCGTCAACCCGAAACCGCACGTCGACTCGTCCGTCACGTCGCACCTCCATGGTGTTGGTGGTGAAGGGTCGTGTCGGATTCGTGGAGGACGGCAACACGTTGGGAAGGCCACAGACCTGCGAGGAGGAGACAAAGCACGTTGGGAAGACGAGAAACGAGCTGAAACAAAGAGCTGAGGAAGGCCTCAAGATTCGGGGTCACTTGTCTCTGTGGTAGTTGTGAGTCCTAGAGTCCAAGACTCAAAAAGTCAAATTGTATATATACTGTGTATATGTGATTTGAATGAAAGCATCGACCTCGGACCTCGGAAGCAGTACCTTCGAATGTCGGCAAACATCCAGACCCACTGTGGTTTGGCTCAAGGCATGGACACCGGACCGGACAAGGCAGCACCAAAAAGGTGCGAGGGAAGGAGGTTGGAGGACCGACCTGTGGTGTTTGGTTTGAAGGAAAACCCCAAAGGAGAAGGTGGGCAAGGAAGCTACCAGTGTGGTTGCAGTCGCAGCCACATTGGTAGCGGAGCCCAAAAGGGCCTGGTGAGGACACTAGGAAGCCATGGCATCGGGAAGCGACGATAAATCGTCGAATGCGATTTGGACTCTGCTGCCGTCTTTTGACCCCAGCGTTGATGAGGTGAAGGAGTACATCGCCAAGGTGAGATTCCTTGAGGGCATATGCCCGAAGAAGGACAAGCCCATGCTGGCACCAAGACTCGCTATGCTATGCAAGGGGACGGCGTGGCATCAAGTGAGACAGATCAAACCGGAAGATCTCACGAGTGCTGATCATGGGGTGAAACACCTGTTGAAGGCGCTGTCCGCCTGGGAAGAAAGTGCGGAGCTCCGCACGTTCGAGTTGTTTGAGAAAGCATTGTACAAGACCATCCAGAAGAGCGACGAGTCGACCCAGTCATTTGTGAATCGGTTGGATGTTGCTTTTGAAGAGGTCGGAGCCGATACAACATTGAAGACAGTGGTGGCATTTGTACTGTTGAAACAAAGCAGCTTGAACCACGAGGACAAGAAGAAGATTTTGACAATGACTGGAGGAAATTTTGACAAGAATTCGATTGCCAATGCAATGAGAAGCCTCTCAACGTCAGTGCTGTCAGGATCGGGAATGGAGAAGAAAAAGGTCTACCCGACCAACTATGTCGATGACGGTCAGGACATTGAGAATGAACAGCATTTTGCTGACCAAAGTGCCCTGGCAATGCAAGCGGAAGAAGAAGATCTCAGTCAGGAAACCCTGGAACAGATGGTTTTAGCTGGAGATGCTGATGCAATGACAGTCCAAGCCTTCGAAAGAGAGCTTACAGATCTCTTCCAAGAGGTGCCGGATTTGCACTCGGCACTGCTGAGCTACCAGGAAGCAAGAGGCCGGATCACAGATCGAAAGAGAAACCGCGGATTCTGGCCAGTGAGGAGCACCTCGGGTGGAAAATCAGGCAAAGGCTTCAGTGCAACGGGTTCGAAAGGCTTTCGAAAAGGCCAATCAAAGGGCAAAGACGAATTGTTGGCTCGCATAGCAAGGACACACTGCAAACGATGCGGAGAACTTGGACATTGGAAAGCAGAGTGTCCGCTGAAGAGTCAAGCCAAGGAATCACAGGCCAATGTGGCCTCAGCCCAGGAAGCCCTTGATCCAGATCTTTCAGACCAAGTTCTTTTTGAAGCAATTGCCTCCGATCCAGAGGTTGGGTTTCGTCGAAACGAAACAGACAAAACCAAAACCAATCCGAAAGAGTTCAGTGCATGTTCGATCAACCAGCCTCCAATGCAAGAGCTTTCGGCCGAGGTAAACTTTTCTGAAGCCATCATAGATAAAACCAAAGCCTTCTTTTTGCATAGGAAACCGAGTGCGTTCTCCGTTGACAGGACGTCGACACCGTCCAAGCAGAGCCGTCCAGCCGGGACGCCAGAAAGAAGACGTATCAATGATCCCTGTCAATCCACAGGGTTTGAAACCAATGGCATGGCCATTTTAGATACAGGAGCCAGCCGAAGTGTCATTGGAGAGTTGCATCTCCCAAAGCTCATGAGTCAACTCCCTGAGCCAGTCCGGAGCCGTGTAAAAGAGAAAGCCAGCAGAATCGCCTTTCGTTTCGGTAACAACCAAATAGAATATAGCTACAAGCAAGTCCATATCCCCATAGATCATGGTAAGATTCGGATGTGGTTGATCGTCGAAGTGGTACCACGCGGAACGCCGTTTTTGCTTTCGATACAAACGATGAAACGCTTAGGAACAGTGATTGACCTGCAGAGCAATTCATGTTTCTTGAAGAGCCTAAACAAAGCAGTTCACTTGTTCGAAGGCAAGACAGGTCTGTTGATGATTAGGATTCAGGACCTTTGCCAATCAAGCGAGTGCCAAAGCATTTTTGGCGCAAGCAGTGATTCGAAAGCAAATTCGCAGATCTTCGAGCAAGATGCCGACACGTGGAGAAATGCTGCAAATGGTGAAGAACATGGCCGAGAACGTGGTGCATTCACTCCAGACTCTGCTCATGATTCTTTTGAATCAAGTGGCCACTCAGGTCTCGAGTCAGGAAGTTCCAATGGAACAAGCCACCATGATGAACCAGCTCATGAACGAAGTTCAGTCTCAGAAGGAGAAAATCGAGGAGCTGGCCGACCTGATGAAGAATCAAGCACTGTCGCCAAGTCGTCGGGACGAGGCATTCACCCTGCTGACAGAGAGCGATCTGGAAGTGTGGGACCAGGAGGTCCGAGTCTATCAACAACCACAAGCAGCAAAGGCATCACCAGTGACTCATGGCGTGTCAACGACACCAATGACATCTCCACCAACTCGAGGACGATCGACGGCAGCCGGGAAAGGAAGCTTCCTTGCCCCTCAGACAAAAGGTCGTGTGGTTGGAACGGCGACCATGCTGGAGAGGACCGCCCCAGAGACGCCACCTCATGGGAGCCCATCAAGTGGAGCCGAGCCAATGGGCAGTCAGCTCAACCAGAGCCTCGCTTGGACAACCACGGCAATGGAGCAGTGGGGAATGAAGCGTGTGACCTGGGGAAAGAAACACCCTGGGAAAACATACCAGGCAGTCTACGAACAAGACAGCCAGTATGTGAGTTGGTGTTTAAGCCGCATCAATTCACTGGACGCTCAGATCGGCGACTTCGCTCGTTACTGCCAAACACGGCAACAGATGGAGCAGCAGCTGCACCAGAGCCAGGGGTTGATCTAGGTAAGGAAGGGAGTTGGGAAGCCCTGATATCAGATAGTCAAATAATCGTTGAAACAGCCTTCGAAGCCAAGCTCATTCAAGCAGCGAAGTCAGCAGAAATAGGAAAAGCATTTGGGAAGCCCATTGATTTGCTTGAGGTGTATGCACAACCAAACAGCCGTTTAGCAGAAGAGGTTCGCAAACAAGGGGGTAGATCAGAACGGTTCACCAAGGAGCATGGAGACCTTGCAACCTTTCAGGGCCAGTTGCAGCTGATCAGAATGATCTTTAGGTTGCGTCCGAAACACATCTGGGTAGCTCCAGAATGCTTTCCATGGTGCGCATGGAATCGTTTCAATGCCGGAAGAAGCACGTCCTTGTTCGAGAAGATTCAAAGGAATCGTGAGTTGTCCAAACAGCATTTGGAACTGTGCACACTCATCTGCAAGATTCAGGTACAACAACAAAGACATTTCACAGCCGAGAACCCAGGAACATCCGATATATGGAAACAACCTGAACTTGAGCCACTACTAGCACTGACGAAGACAGTTCAGTTAGATCAATGCAGGTTTGGACTTATTCATCCCGAAGACGACAGACCCCTAAAGAAGCATACTCGTTTGCAAACCACCTCAGACCAAATAGTCAAGGACCTTGATGGACGGTATTGCAAGAAAAACCATGAACATGCTCAGATTGCGGGTTCGTGCAACCATTTAGGAGAAAGAATGGCATTGTCTCGATATGCAGCATTTTATCCCAGAGTTTTTTGCAAGAGCCGCAGCCCGGAGCATTTTGCAGGAGGTTCAACCAGCAAGAATTCCAGTTGTCTTTGAAGAAGATTGGGAGAATTTGTTTCCTGTTGATGAAGAGCATCCACCTGCGAAGCGCGCACGTTTTGAGCCACCACGTGAATCGAAGAGAAAAGAAGTATCCGAGGACTCAGCAAGGAAAGTCCTAGCTGATGAGACTTGGATCGAAGCCTTCGATTGGTTCCAGAAGAATCTGCCAAAGTCAGGGTCCATCGAGGTCTCAACAGGAACGTGGCCAGGAAACTTCATTGTCGAACAATGTGAATTCCAGGTTCGAAAGATTCTCGCAGGAAAAGGCATGGATAAGTATCTCATAGGAGAAACCACCCATGAAATCCGAAGAACCATATGCCAGTGCCGCAAAACCAAGCAGATTGTTGATCTAGGTGAAGAGAACTGGACACGGTTGACCCTCAGGCAACAGCGTAGGATAGCCATGCCAAGTCACATCATGGTTTGTGTGTTTGGGGTAGATTCAATTAGCGAAGAAAGCAGAGCAGAAGCATCCCAGAGACAAAGTGATCCTGACCCACAGATTGCAGATGCTGAAGGTTCGCACGAACAGCCAGAGCCGAACGAAGCAGAGGTCGGAGAACCAGCCAAGCCGTATGCTGTGGAAATTCGAGAAGACACAGGAAAAGAAGATCCATCAAAAGTAATGATTCCTGCATGGTCTCCTCAATCCTCAAACAATTCGGGTCCGAAGTTCCACAGCCTGGATAGCTTCCAAAGGTCTCTAATTCAGCGAATCCATAATAATCTAGGTCATCCGACAGCTGAGAAGTTAGCCAGCCACCTGAAGAGATTGAAATTTTCACAAGAATTGATCGAGGGTGCCGGTGACTATCTTTGTCAGTCTTGTTCGGAAAGGGTTCCACCGAAACTTCACTCTCCCGGTAAGTTGAAAGAACCAAAGGACTTCAACGAAGTGATTGCATTAGACGGATTCGAGTGGAAAGATAGCCACGGGAAGAAGTATTATGTCATTCACATCTTTGATGAAGCCACCCACTTTCATTTGGGGAGAAGGTGTAAGAGAGGAACAGAAGAAGCTGAGAAAGTAGTCAATGAAACCTGGATTCACTGGGCCGGACCCCCCTCAAATAATCCATCATGATTTAGCAGGAGAGTTCGTAAGCCAACAGTGGAAAAAACATGTTGCAGCAAAACGGCATTCAAACGCAGACCTCCGCAGCACCCTGGCAGAGAGGACGAATAGAAAGGCATGGGGGCATTATAAAAGAAATGCTGAGTAGGGTAGACAATCATGTGCCGATTCGAAGCGACAAAGATTTCGATTATGCACTGTCCCAATGCTTCCAAGCTAAGAACAGTATGAGCGTTGCAAAGGGGTTCAGTCCAGAGCAGGCCGTTCTGGGAAGATCAAGACGACTTCCTGGATCCATTTGCAGCGACGAGGACACAACGGCACACTCTCTCGCAGATAGTGAAGATCCACAAGCCGATGTGTTTCAGAAAAAGATGCAGGTTCGAACCGAAGCCAGGAAAGCCCTCATCGATGCAGACAATAGCCAGTCAATCCGAAGAGCCATGTTAAGACAATCCCGGGGAAGGGAACATGACTGGAAATGTGGTGAACTATGCATGGTATGGGATAAACGAAAGGCTCCAAATATGCTCGAAAAAGGCAGATGGGTAGGTCCCTGTCAAGTCATCATGCATGAATCGCGTACCATAGTATGGGTAACACACCTGAATAGGCTGTTGAGGGTAGCAAGAGAGAACATGCGGTCTGTGTCCCTGCGTGAGTTCCAAAGTCATCACGGTTTCAGTCAGACCGGGGACACGCATCGTTTGCAAGAGATGGCAGAGAAACTCAAAAAGGATTTGAAAGACCGAAGTGGAATGTTTCAATTCTCTGAACTCATCGACACCGACTATGAGCCATCAATTGCAGAGTCGAGGCCAGAACCAATGCCCAGGTCGAATCAGCCAGAGGAAGAGCCTCTACGCCGGGTTTCTCGAACAGAATCCCTACCGGGTCATCCGCCTGGACTTGATGCAAGTCAGATCCCAGTGATTGATCCAAATGCAGAAGATGAACTTCGAGAGCCTTCAAACCCAGAAGAAGCCTCCGGTCTAGATAATGATCATCCGGTAAATCCATCAGAATCATTCGGGGATTCAATGGTGGTCAATGCATGTATAGTAGAAGCAATAGATGGACAGCAGCAAGGGGTGGATGATAAGGGGACTCTATGGAGTATGGAATCATCCGAAATAGCTGAAGCCCACTTTTGCAGTTTCGAATTCGTTGTTCCGATGAAAATGTTGGAGAAGTTTTGTAAGAACCCATGTTTACATGCCGAAGCCATGAACAGAGCCGCAAAGAAAAGCCATACCGAGGTGAATTATCGAAACCTCACGGAATCAGAAAGGAAGCAGTTCGATGAAGCCAAGCGTAAAGAGCTGAAATGTTGGATTGAGACAAGTACAGTTGAACCAATCCTGAGGCATAAAATCCACCCATCCAGGATAATGTCTTCCAAATGGGTTCTCACTTGGAAGGAAGATCAGACGTCATCGACAGGCCGCAAGCCCAAGGCTCGTTTGGTCATTAGAGGTTTCCAAGACCCCGAAGTTGGGATAGTCTCGACAGAGAGTCCGACTTTGTCAAGGGACGGACGGATGATGATATTACAGACAGTTAGCTCAAAACATTGGGACATCCAATCATTCGACATTAAAACCGCATTTCTGCGTGGTCGATCGGATCAGCGTGAATTGGCCATTTACCCAGTTAAGGAGTTCCAAGAGATGCTTAGCCTCAGCCAGGAACAGGTGTTGTTGTTGAAAGGCAATGCATACGGTAGGGTAGATGCACCCCTCCTCTTCTACAAGGAGTTTCGGAAGTGCTTGGAACATGAAGGATTCACAGCTCACCCTTTAGACAATTGTCTGTTTCTCCTCAGAAATCCGGAAGATCCCACCAAACTGGACGGAATCCTAGGAACACACGTCGACGATGGAATTGGGGGTGGAGGTCCACGATTTAATAAGGCTCTTGAGAATCTTCAGAGGAAACTGCCTTTTGGAAACCGTGAGTATAGAAAGTTCAAATTCACAGGTTTGACCGTTGAACAGAGAGAAGATTTTTCGATCAAAGTAGGGCAAAAAGATTATGTGCACCAGATTGAACCAATAGATGTAGCTAAGATCAGAAGAAAAGAACCAGAGTCGCCAGTGACGAGCCAAGAACAACACCAACTAAGGGCCTTGTGTGGTAGCCTGCAATATGCGGCGGTTCACTCGCGTCCCGACATGATGGCAAAAGTCTCATTCCTGCAAAAGAGCATATGCAAAGCTCGGGTCAAAGACCTAATGGAAGCAAACAAGATACTTCAAGAGACAAAGGAAAATGCAGACACCGCAATTATCGTGCAACCGATAGATATGAAGCAGGTTACCTTTGCCAGTTTTGGGGATGCTAGTTTCGCCTCAGAGTCACAGCTTAAGCCACAACAGGGAGTGTTCATAGCAACCTGCACGAAGGAACTTGCCCAGAACAAGATCTCAGAAATTTCTCCTGTGTCATGGCATTCCAAACAGATCAGTCGGGTAGTCCGTTCGACCCTAAGCGCAGAGGCTTATGCCATGTCATCTTCATTGGACAAGCTCACGTGGCTAAGATGTATGTGGGCATTCATTAAGGACGGCAATTTCCAGTGGCAGAAGCCTGAGCTTTCCTTGCAAAAGGAGCCAAAGGCCCTCCTGATTACGGACTGTAAAAGTCTGTACGACCTTGTGAGCAAGATGGCAACACCAAATTGCCAGGAGTGGCGGACGACAATAGAGGTTATGCTGATCAAACAACAGTCGGAAAACACAACGGAGTGCAGATGGATTTCTACTGCTATTATGCTTGCAGATTGTTTGACTAAGCCTATGGATTCGTCATTCCTTCGGAAAGTATTAGCTTTAGGAAAATTCAGAATATATGATGACAGCAATTCGTTGAAAGAAAATCCAAATCGCACTTTCAGCAGCCGATGGATAGAATCTTTTTCGGAGCAGTCACATTCGAAAAAGAGAATAGAACCAGTGTGATTTGAATGAAAGCATCGACCTCGGACCTCGGAAGCAGTACCTTCGAATGTCGGCAAACATCCAGACCCACTGTGGTTTGGCTCAAGGCATGGACACCGGACCGGACAAGGCAGCACCAAAAAGGTGCGAGGGAAGGAGGTTGGAGGACCGACCTGTGGTGTTTGGTTTGAAGGAAAACCCCAAAGGAGAAGGTGGGCAAGGAAGCTACCAGTGTGGTTGCAGTCGCAGCCACATGTATATATATATATATATATAGTGTTGTCGGGGAAGGGGAGGAGGAATTGTGGCTGATCTCGCTGTCCCATCTCTTGATTCCTGATCAATTGCTGGCTCTAGACCTTGCTGTTTGGATGCTTGAGGACGAAAAAAGACACCCGAGCTGACAGAGAAATGGCAGTGATGGCAGCGTCCATTTTCGGGACAAGCGTGGCCTTGATGATATCAGGCGCATGCCCACCACCAGCACCCTCCGTGTGGTAGGTATGGATGGTCCGACCTACGCTCAAAGACACCGTGGAACACAGGGCATCTGGGAACAGTTCTGATTCCAATCCACTTGAGGACTTGGATACAGGTTGGCCACGTCTCAGTCCCAGACCTTTCATTGCTGCAATGGAGTCATCAACGAAGCCGGATTCGTTGATGGTATCCTGCAAGGACAAATCGACCGGTGTTGCCCCTATTTGCTTGTGGCAAAACTAGACAAATTATACAACATAAATCTATACTACTTCCACATGTTCCAAACCACTCGTCAGCTAGTTCGACTGAAGAAGCCGGGCTCTGTGCTCAACTTTCTTCGTCTCTCGGGGCCGACGCTCACACGCCACACGCCTACGCTCACTAGGAAGCGCCACATCTTGGTGCAATATCTACAACGAGATATATACAGGTTCTTAAAATCAACAAAAGACACAACAAAACGAAACCCATGTTCTTCGACTTCACTTTCCAGTTTCTTAACTTGTTTTTCAGAAACCGCGGTCCGTGTGGATCGTGATGGCAATGTCATTCTCGTCCGCGAAGGTGAGTGCCGTGTCGATCACCGCCGGGGTCGTTCCCCAATCCTCGGCACATCGGCTGAGCGGCACCGGTGGGAGAACGACTTCAGACAGGGGGGTTCCTTGTAAAGGAAGAAACAGGAAACAATTCCTCCATCGTTCCCACATTCCTGCTGCTAAAACGCTATATATATATACGGTCAGTTGGGGGATCTTTGTCTTGCTTTTCTTTCGAATCTTCCCGGAATCACGATGCTTCCATGAGCGGACTTATCAGGTAGACCAACCGACATCAATCGCCATGCTGCCTGTGAAAAACACTCAATCCAACACTGTCCCATCTACACAAACTGCCTCTATATCATCCATCCCGTCCATCTCCCAGCCTCGTGCAGCTTGAGCCCAGCTGCCCCAGCCTGGAAATGGTTGGCTCGCACGGCTGCGCGCGGCTGCTTGGTTGCTGAGCCTTAGACCCTCCATGGATCTGACAAATCCTCAACCCACGTGCTTAAACTACAACCTCCTTTGCCTCGCAAAACTCCCAGACCCCTCCACCCCGGGTCGCGTCCACTTAGAACACCTGCCGGAGTCGGCCTTGATCACTTCTTTGAGCCCCGTGGGATCCGAGGTGTTGCCCTTTCCGGAGAAGCCGAAGTTCAAGGGATACCTCAGCCACGCAGCGGCAGGCGCGCAGCGGGCAGGCGCGCGGAGCCGAGGCGGTGAAGCAAGCGCCGTTCCGCAAGGTGCTGCAAGGGGCAGCGACACCAAGGTGCGCACCAATTGTGTATGTGAGCGTTCTAGTCTGTAGGGAGATCCACCGGCCAATGGATTGCTTCGCTGTGACTGTTCCGCATTGAAGGAACTTTTGGAGGGTTCCCCTCAGTCAAGGAAATCTATTCCCAAAGCCGCTTCAATTGATGTACGTCTTCGTTCACTGTGCATCATAATGAGGAGCCTGGGGCGCCCAGCGTGTCTGTCGCTTGAAGCATCATGGCGACCTAGTAAGCGTGCCACTTGTTTTCAAGTACGAGTACTAAACACTGAATTGATAAATATACAAAAAGTAATGGCAAAATCAAGATTGCATGTCTCTTAGTGCAATACCCACCGGTATTTGGGGTGGTTTAAACCCTGGTTAACCACTGGACTTCTCTCAGAAAAGTCTTTGGTATGGAGCAACTCTATTCTGATGTAAAGGCCCCAAAAGGCGCGACAACTGTGTTGGATGTCTACCAGCACCCGACTCTACAGGTCTCCAAAAGGCTTTGGGAGACTTAAGTGAAGTCAGGTGCTGCCATCGCTCCACATGGCTAGACCCCCACCTGGCTGGGTGCCGGTGTGCAGGTGGTGGCATTCGTCCCCGTCGCAGGGCCGGTGCCTGCCATGCGACCGCGGCAGCGCACACATCCGGCAGCGCACACGGAGTTTTCGAGGCCAAACCTTCCTAAAGACCTCGGGTGTCAGAAAGGAATACATAATCATCGCGCAGGTGTCATCCGTCCACCATTCATCGGCCTCCACCATACATGGTGGTCAGCCCCGAAGCAATCGCGTCGTCGATTTGCTGCGGGCAAATCCAATGCACCTCGTGTCCCGACTCGACACCGCGCTTCGTCAGACCGACTCGTCGCTGAGAGCGACCGGGTCGTTCGCCGACGGCCCGGTGGTTCAGTGCCCGACGGCCCCCCGGACAGACGGCCACGGCACACGTGTTTCTCAGCTCCGGCACATGCATGTCCAGGCCACCAGCAGTCACAATCATGCCCTCGCCAGCAATGGCTTCGGTGGTGACCTGAAACGCTGGCCAGGGCTCGTCCAGCTGCGCAACTTCAAGCACCACTTCAGCTCGTCTTCAGCTGTGAAAAATGCCGAGAATTCAGACTGTGAGAAGATCCAAGCTCCAAGGCTTCAAAGCAGAGATCCGCAAAAAGCTGCAGATTCAGCTGGAAAGGTGCAGATTCAGCTGGAAAGGTGCAGATTCAGGTTCCGGCTCCCACCACCATTCCTTTGGAAACCCCATCCATGATGTCTGGATTGCCAGCCTGGACATCAGCAACATGTCTGAACTGGTGCGATTTAGACATTGGGATCACCAACTGTCATCGAAAGGGCACCCAGATTGAAATGAGTGACCCAGCTTGGGCGTGCCTTTCCAATGCCCACAATGCGGTTCCCCTTGATGCCAATGTCCTTGGTGATCGGCAGTTGCGTAAATATAGAAGTACACTCAGTTGGACATAGAAACCATTCGGAAAGCTCGGCCAGGATCGCCCCAACATGTCGGATTTCAGACTCATCCTTCCAACTCCTCTGTTTTGGGGACTTACTCGGCCATGAGTCATACGCACAGGGTCTGCTGACTGCCCCTGCCTTTCCTCTGTCGAGACACAGCTGTTGAGACAAAGCATAGAACGAACACTTACTATACTTATTCTTTCAGCGCCCAATAAAGCACCTACAAATCATCAACAGAATAGGCTGATGCTGTCCTCAAATGGACACGATGTTCAACGTGTGTCGACAGGAGAATAACTATATATAAATATAAATATATAACTTTTCTATCTAATCCTGAGACCTCTTTAAGTGGGGAGTTTTCCCCCATCCACCTGCACCACTCCTCAACATGCTACAACCCACTCGTTCCCCCTCCCATTGCAGCCCAGTGACTGCTTTCCTCAAAATCAAGCCGGTTGCTTGGTGGAGAGGGGCTAGACCAAGCTTTTAGTACACTGCTACACGGGTGGTCGTCTAAACCATCCAAGAAACTTCAAGCCATCAAAAGTCAGAACAGCAAACGACCCTCGAGTTTCTCCACCCGCATCTCTCAACATGATCTCTCACATTCTCACCACTCAACACCATGGCGGCACGTCGACGGTGGTCCCGGGGGCTGGTCACGGTCGTCCCGTCTCGCCACACAACTCGGTCCAGACTAAGGTGCACAATCCCGGACTTCGCATCCACAATGAGCGCGTTGGTAATGACGACGTCCAAGGCATCCTACAAATGCTGAGTCAAAACGCAGGATGCCAGGGTCTTGGAAACATGAGAAAAAGGGTTCTGCATGAACAATACATCGACGTTCAGCATTCTTGAATAAAAAACTCCCGCTTTACACAAAACTCCCGCTGAAAAGAAAAAGCCAAGCAATTCACCAATTCAGCTGCGTCTTTCATCGATACACCGCTCCTTCGCTGGCACACCAGTGGCTTGCCCCATCCCTTCGCGCAGCACCTTTCCACCTGGACCGCACTCGGGTTTCGCTTTCGGTCCATGGCTCGGGGATCCGGATGAACACCGAAGAGCATGGCGACTCGAACGGAACAAGGGACGCGGCTCGAACGGAGTTGTCTACGAACGGGCATGGCGATGAAGAACGGAGCGAGAAAGGACGCGGATGAAGAACGTAGCTCCTGGCCGCTCCTACGAACGGAACGTCAGGAGGGTTTCGTCTGGCACCTCCAAACTTGCACTCCTCTCCATACACCGTGAAGTCCTGGCCGAAGGGGGCATGAAGGGGACATGAAGGAAATGCCTTTCACCCAAGTTTGTGAAGTGTCGAGACCAGTGGGCTTTTCTGGAATCATCTATCATCTAGTCGCCAGACAGGGGAGTCCTTTCCACCTGTTGAAGGGGCTGCCGCTGCCATGTGTCTTTGGTTCTTTTCCTTCAGGCCGTTGACTTCACGCTTCTCCGCAGGTTTGCATCGCTTGGAGCCGGAGCCTGTCCTTCTCCACCTCTGCAATCAGATTGGTGTCTCCCAGCCGCACCTCCACCAGGCACATGGCAGCGATTCATGCTTCATCTCATGGGGTCACAATCACCCATCCATCCCAAAACTGCAGCTCTTGTACCGTTCTCTGCCAAGTACAGCTGTAAGGAGGTTCTACCAACTAATCAGGTGTTCAACATCCCCAACTCATGGCATGACTTCCGATGATGTCCGTACGACTGGGAACAGGAGTCGAGAGGGTCGATTTGGTACCGACTCTCTTGGTTGTACACGACCGGGGGGGTATCCCCTCTACGAATCAATCAACCAACAGTGAAAGGACATCTATTACTTCCTTGTCCTCCTTGGCAACCCAGGTCTTAGGCCATCTTTGGGCCCGTATTACAGCTCAGCACTGAGCAGCCGCTCAGCCCGACGCTTTGGGTCAGAGCTCCGGGTGGTGTCTCCCAGGTGTAAGGGCACATCGAGCTGGGAGCGGTTCAAAGGACGGGCTTCTAACTGAGAGATGAAGGTCATCTCCTTCTTTGTCAGTTCGAAGTCGAAGATCTGGAAATTCTCTTCGATATGTTCCTTCTTGCTGCTCTTGGGGATGAGCTGAAAGCCCATTTGGAAGCCCCAACGGAGCAAGAGCTGCGCCACACTCTTGTTTTTGTTAGAAGACATCGGGGCCAAGGAGACCGTCGCCTCTTCCAAACTGGACAGGGATCCCGTCGCCTGGATTTGAATCTGTCGAGCTTTGCACCACTGAAGTAGCTCTTGCCTGGCAAAGCAGGGGCAAAGCAGGTCGAGCTCGACTGACCGCTATCAAAAAGAAGAACAATGCAGGTGGTCCAAGTCCTCAAAACCAGCAAAAATAACCAGTGACCTGATCTGTGGTGTTTTTTTCCATGAGTGGGTTCACTCTTTTCGGGTCTGGACCGTGTTTTGTTTCAACACTCGTTGTCCCAACGCGGGTGCCTTTCGGGCAGATTGAAGGGATCCAGGTCCAGCTGTAAGACTTCGGGCAGATCGCGACCGTGCGATTGAAAGGCTTCCAGATGATGCACATCAAAATCTCGGATTCCCAAGGACCTCACCAAGCCCATCTTCTTCATCTCCACCATGGCATCCCAGGTTTCCATCAGCTTCCCGTCCCAAACAGAGGCCATGACCAACAAATCCACGTAATCCAACCTCAGCTGTCTCAAGCTGCTCCGCATCGCACGATGGGCTTCGTCAAAGCCATGCGCCGTCACCCAGGAGGACACGAAGACCTCATTCCGGCTCTGCCCAGTCTCCTGCAGGACGACACGAGTGAAATGTGAAACAGTATCAATCCTTTGTGATAACAACTTCTATGTATGCCCGATTCTACCCTTGACAAGCCTCATCTAGCAATTTCCTCAAGTAACTTGGGAGACTCTAGAGACAACCGACACCAATCCCCAACAAACAACCATACCCGCTCCTTCACCGTCTCCGACACTGCGCGATGCTCCGTCTCAGCCATCCGCGCAGCCACCCTGCCACCAAAGGCCCAGCGCAGCAGAGCGGGCGGGGCCCGGAGGCCCAGCGCCGGGAGCCGCCGCCCGTCGCGCAGCGCATAGGCGGGCGCCACATCTGGGGCGGCGGCGCCCGCCGCGCCGAGGAGGGCGGCCAGGGGCGCCAGGGTCCATGGCATCGGCGCTCGGTGGCTGCTGGTTGGCTTGATGTGTTGGTGTTATTTCTTCTTTGGTGTGTCCGAGGCCTCACAGGAACAATCGGTTTCTTGGCTGATGGGCTTGTTCTAGAAAGAGCTTTACAATGTCACTGGCCATTCAAACTTTTAGTATCTTGGATACATTCACTCCAGTTTGTGTTGGTTTGCAGGGGAGCGTGAAGCGTGAGGAGGACCGCAAGTGCCAAATCGAGGGAGGCTAGTCGACTCGCTCTTCCTCAGAATGCTTTTACTTTTGAAGCTTGATTCGTGAATTCTGTAGCTGAAGCTGACCTTAATCCACATAGCATGCAAAAAGAATCTCACAACACCACAATATGCTGTCCCAAGTGGTCAGGGGGAACCCCCCCTACGTCCTTCAGACAAAGCTGAGTCCAAACAGCAACTCACAAGACCTCACATCCTTTCATCACCAGGCCGCCTTGTCTCCCACAGTCGGCCCGAAGAGCTCCGCATAGCGGTCACGCGCCAGGATCTCGGAGCGGCGCGGCTCGGACGTGGACGTGACGGCCGTACACATAACTATGCCACAAGGTCCAGCCATGTCTAGGCCATAAGGTCTATATTCAGTTGTATTTAGGCCACAATAGGCCATAAGGTCCATTCCATATTTTTACTATACCGCTAGCAGGTGCCATCTCAGGTCTCTGAACCTCTCTGGAACTGCGCACGAGTCAAAGATGATCTTCTCCGCAAACCCCAGCTAGTCTCGAAGCACCGTTTGGGACTCTCTCGGAGCCATCGTCTTTGAGGCTAGCCAAAGACATGCTCAGACATCCATGGCAACCCTCGCCATCTGTTCACTCCATGTCTCCCGGCCAAAGGCTGCCCAGCAGGAGCTTCGGACACTGCCTCAAGGCACTGCGACCACGTGTTCCCCCTTTTTTGGCCTTCCAGATCGACTGAGTGTCTCAAATCGACCAATGTCCCGGTCGTTCGCCGCACATCGTGCCTGCCACTGCCTGCTACCTGCACTGCCAAACCGAGGACAACACCTGATGACCAAAGCCGCCGGACTCCACACGCGCCATGACCTCCGGCAAGCGGTCTGCGCCTGGGCGCCAGACAGGACAGCGGGCTGAAGTATGCTGATCCAAGAAGTCTCATCAACTCACACCCTACTGACAATGACCATGAAGGCTAAAGTGGCTAAAGTGGCTATGATTCCAAATAATCTTTTGGATGGCGAGTGCCATCAAGCAATCGCTTCCTTTCCGCCAGAATGCGCAATTTGCCCACTGACCCAGTTCGCAGAAACTTCCGTCTTGCCCAAGTCCACCACTTGCAACACCGTCCACCAGGCGGTTGCCCGAGACCTTCGGCTGAGTGGCTCTTAACTCTTCTTTGAACCCGACAGGACGGGGCCCACGCAGTCTGACCCCAAGTTCCGGGCCACCCGCTTCTTGCCAGCGATCTCGACGAGCGACACCACCTAGGAGGTGGTCGAACTGAGACTCTCACTGACCCTCAGTGCACCGACCCTCACTGAGACTCTCCAGACTCTCCAGACGTTCGACCACCGCGTTGGACACAAGCTACGCAGCTACACCTGGTTCGGGGGGTTCGCAGCTCCCTCGAAGCACCGAGCACCGAGCCTTGGAATCTCCCGGCTCGAAGCGCACCGCCGAGCCGCTGGGCACGTTCAGCCGCCGGCCGTAGGCCTCGGACGTCGTTCGAACCGGCGACTGGCGACCGGTGCACCAGCGAACGGACGGCTATATCCATGGCCCGTGGCCGTGGCCTGCCTATTAAAAATATGGTAATCCAATAATTCATGATTGGTTTTCATATTAAAAAAATAATTGTTGTTATTGAGGGTTGGTCGTTCTTTTGCAGGCTCAAGAACCTGGCACGCAACACCGACCCGCCTTCTCGCGGTCAAACAGCAAAGACTTGTTGGTCTCAATGAAATGGTAATGAGAGCCAACCTGGAAAGGAGACTGGCGAGATGTTGTGGGAAAACGATGAAACACCGCTAACTGAACAGTTCGAAAAAGGTTGAGCGGAGGTCAAAAAGGCCTTCGTTGTTCACGTGTGTTTCTCAACGGAGGGAAAGAACGAACTCTCTCACCATCGAATCAATGAGAATTGTCGACTCGACCATGTCAATTCCCGATTCCTGGGGCCTAGAACACTCCCAAAAACCCAAAAGAAACGCATCCCGGGCCTGGATGGGTCGGTCGCCGGTGTTGGTGACCTCCAATTCGATCAGGGAGCGCCCAGCATTCAGCTCGACACCACCCTGTGCGGCTCCGCGAAAAGGGAGGAGAGCTGCTTGGGCAACTGATCCAGTTCGTTCGTGAACGGCAGGGACGAAAAAATGGACTAAAACGGGCGGACTCACAAAACCACAGAAGACTGCTCTCACTCATATACTTAATGAGTAATGATTGATAGTTTCTCACTTTGAACATCAGGCCCGCGGACGAACATCCCAGCCTCAGCCGCTGTCACCTTCCCAGGTGCCTGTCAAGGTGGGTTGGCACCACCAGGGCGCGAGCCCATTCTACAATGGTTTAGAGATGTTTTGTTTAGAGACTCTTCCCAAGTTCCAAGAACTGACCACTCACCCCGGACCTCGTCTTCTTCGAGCTCTCCAAAGAGGCCATAGTCTGGCTCCGGTAAGAAGGAACCTCAAGCATCGCCCAGAGCACCGTTGGAACCCGATCTTTGGGAAGTCACCGTTGAAACGCAGGTGGAACCTACGGTGGAGATTCCAAGGGTGCGAGACCTACCGCTTCGTGGCGACGAGCTTCAATTTCATGGGCAGGTTCTGCCCGTCTCCCTTTGGAGCACCTGGAACCGGAAAAATGCGGCTCGGAGTTTCGAAAGGCCGGACGAAGGTCATGTCTCAGCGTCCGGGCCTTTCAGAGCTAGGCTCAAGTCTCCATCCACATTGCCTCGCGGTGCGGAGCCCAGTGGAGCAGAGGTATGGATTTTGGGCGAAGTTCGCAGAAGTCGATGTGCCCTTGCAGTTTGTAGGGGGAATCGCAACATGAGATAGGACTCCCCGAAAGAAGGAAAGGTGTACCATGACCCAAAATAGATCTACACATTGACATATAATTTATACACCAAATCCCCTCAAAAGCCTGTGAACACACAGTGGAAGCACTTTGCCCAAATGTGGAAGCTGAAGGTTCATCAAGTGGTGAAAATCCCTCAGCAACGGCCGAGTTCGGCTGGAGGGCCGAAGGGCTGGGCATCCCCGACAGATCGGCTGATGCACCGTGAGCAATTTCGTGCCATCAGGGAAGGTGGCTTCGACCTGCGCAGCCCCCCCCCCCCGCTTTCCTTCGGTCCCAACCGAAAGAAAGTAACGACCCAAAGAAAGGCGCCCAAAATACGCAAGATCGGCAACAAGCTGCGTCAAAAATGTCAAAATGAATAAACTCAGGGATCTTGCTCTTGATGCTTGAGCAAACTTCAGCAAGGCAAGTCACCTGGACATCCGGGATGAGCTTCTCGACGCCTGGAAGTACCTGATCCAGACATTCAAAGAGGCACCATCAACTGCTTTTGGACATGTTTTGCATCCATTGAAACTTTCTCTCCAAAAAGAACGCTATCACCTGATCCACCACATCTCCTCCACCCGCGGTTTCCTCGCTGCCTCGCCGTTTTCCATCCGCTTCGGCCCCATCCGCCCGGCCGCCCCGGCCGCCTGGCGTCGCCCGAGGAGCTGCTTCCCCAGGTCCATCAGCGCGGCCACCGACTCGCCGTCGCGGATGAACCTCCGACTCGCCGCCATCGGATCGCCGTCGAGGGGAGGCGGTCTGCGCCGTCAGGCCAGGTGAGATGTCGGTTTTGGGGAGACGACGTGAGGTATAATCTTTAAAGTAAAAGGGCAGGACATCAAAGGAAGACAGCTAAACAGGACATCCGCATACATCCGCCATGTTTTTGGGATGAGTTTTGCTTTTGACATTGGCAAGAAAGCGGATCAGTTGGTGGTCTTCTTTGGGGTGGGGAGCGGATCAGTTGGGTGGCTTTCTCCAGGGCCACCAACTCCATCATTTGACTGGTCAAGAGCGCCACCGCCTGCAAAAGGAGCAGCCGGAGGTCAGTCAAGGTTCTTTTGGCAATGGCCTCTAACCTAAGAGCGATGGCCTCCAACCTAATAATAGCGATGGCCTCCAACCTAGGAGGGATGACCTCCAACCTAGGAGCGATGGAGTTCAAGGTTCTTTTTTGGTTTGGTTCTTATTAGGTAGCTTTATGTAGTTTTTGGTAGCTACGCGCCGAAGAAGCAAGAAATGTTTGCTGCTCCTTTGCCCTCTACCGACAACATAAAAAAGCACCCGATTCGCGCTGTAAACATGTTGTTTCTGCCATTGCTATCGAGAAAACAATCACCCCAAAACCCTTTGGCAACTGTTACTTGCTCCTCTACAATCAATCAGGCTTAGGCCACTCTTGGCCTAGTGTCCATGCCAAACCTCATCCCAAAGGCCATGGTTCTCTGAAATTATGTTATGTTTCTTGAACTATGGCTAGAATGCTAGAAACTGCCTAGGCTTTTAGAAAATGTTTGGAATGTGGTGAAAACTCGGCATGTTTCCCGACCCACCTCACCCCCCCTCCACTACACTGAGTTAGATCTGTCGCAAGACCCAAGAGCCCGTCACCATGTTGGCCTCAACCCCTTCCAGACCCACCCACCCCCCAAGCCAGCAAGTGTCGACACAAAGTTACATACTGTTGCAATTGTGGTTCTTGAAAGGCATGTGTGTCAAAAGCGTGGTTCCTGAAACGCACAGAGATTCTGAAACGTAGTCACTGATACGCACATAGTTCCTGAAACATGCTTGCTGAAGCTGTGGTTGCAGAATCGTTTCTGAAACGCGCGTCATCGTTTTGATCCATATCATCCAACATCGTACCTGCTTGGGTCAGCCCATATTAAATTCCTCCAAAAGCCACGTAAGCCTCCAGAAGCCACGTAGGCTAAAGGCCTTTGCACTCCCAGTCTCCCAGTCCACCCGACTTTTCCGCCTCCGGATGATTCAGCCGCAAGCCCCGCGCCAAGCGGCGTTGAGCGAGCTGCCCAGCCTTGGACAGGCGGGCGGTTGGTCCGAACGCACGACAAAGCGGTTGGTCCGAACGCAGAGGCCACATGGTTATATACGTGGTTACGTGGATGGAGAAGCACATCCGGAAAAGTAATCTTCCTTGCGGGAAGAAGAGTGGTCCACTTCCATGTTAGTGAGTCGGAGGGTACGAGATAGATCCACCAGTGACAGCTTCCATGGGATGACCTCACATCGCTTGACACATGCCCCAGAAGCAGCTTTCCCTATGTAATCAACCCGACCCGATGTAATCAAATGTGATGGCACAGTGCAAAGCAACAAAGCAAGTGTGTTCAAAAGGCCAAGTGATCATAGCCTCAACCTTTTTTTGAAACACGTCGTGCGGATAATCACAACTTCCTGGATCAAAGTCCTCACCCTCTGTCGCACCTGGGAGAGTCGTAGATGGTCCAGCTCACGTGGTGTGAGCTTCATGCCACGGCGTTGAGCGTCCAAACCGCCCTGGCGACCACCCAAATCAGCGGCAAATGAATGGCTCGCAGGACAAGAGGACCATTTCAAAGGCATTGGTGAGATTGGCTGATTGGCAAGATGATGCGAATTCATGCATCAGTGTTGATGAGCATTGCTCATAGTGACTAAGAAAGAATCAAAAACAAACCAAGCCATCCACCAAGCCACCTCAGAATGACCAGACCAATGCTCTGTCCACCCTGGGCATTGTCCACCCCGGGCGCCTGGAGGGTTGGGATCTGCAACGCTGGTGCCAATGCCAACGCTGGACCTCTTGACCTCGCGGTCCACGCACCGGCCACGCAACGCCCCAAGCATCTGTGGCTTCCCTTCCAAAAGAGAATGACACATTACATTGAAGAACGGAAGAGCACTCCTGGTCTGTCTTCGTTTATAAACAAGGAGCTTTAAGAAGTTGACCGATGGCTTTCCTGTGGTCTTCTTCAAAAAGACTGGTGGGACGGAAGAACCATCCAGCCATCTCCGCTGGCCTCACATGCCATCCCAGCCGGCTGAGACCAGCAAGTCTGCCTCGCATGGCCTTGGGGGGGAGATCACAGGCCATCCCTCGGTTTGAATTCTCAGCATTCAAGAAACCACATGCAGCAAAGGGAAAAAGAAACCAACCCTCCATGGCACCATTTTTGCATCAGCTGTTCCGTTTTCAGCCATAGCCATCATCCAGCACGGCCATGTCTTCATCCAAGAAGCTGCTATCGACCTCCAGGGCGACTGTGTTCCAGCGCATGCATGGAGCTCGATGTGTTCACCCCTATGTTCTCTATTCGCCGACCAGAATCCATCACAGAATGAGTCCACACCGTGGGACGATGATCCAACCCATCACCCTTGGACACAACATCGCCTTGAGACGAACCACTTTCCAGTAGTTGCTACAGCTGTCCTCGGAGTGCCCTTTTTGTCGCTCTTCAGAAGGGCTTTCAAGCAGATTGAAAAGACCAGGGCGCTCCGGTTCGATGAAACCACGACGCGGATTCTGCTGGCGCCCGGGCGCCCAGTCACACCCCGCTCCAAACCCGACCGCGGTCAGATCCCGGGTTTGGCTCCAGGTTTGGGACCGACCACTTGAGCGATAGATGGGGAGAGTCCATTCCCACCTCTTTCTCTGAACCAACCAGGAGGGGGGACCGACCCAAACCATGGCATTGGATCCGATCCCCCATCCTCCTTTCCGGACAGGATCGCCCCGGAACGCACCTCCAGGATCTCGCCGAAGGAGCGCGCTCGCTTCTTCTCTGCGCGTCGGTGAACCTGTCGGGGGAAGGTCCGCCACGCGGCAACGGTGGAGGGATGGTAGCCCGGAGAAACGGGGTCGAACCTGGTCAGATCAAACTATTATCTTGGGAAAATGAGACATTGAGATAAATGCACATCACACTGATCTCTGACCCCAAAAAACCTATCAATGGCATCTGACTTTCGATCGTGTTCTATACATCTTTACACGGTCTTGCTGATGAATTCAGATGGTTTCGAACCACCTCGGTCATCTACTTGCAATCCCATGCGGTCCCCGTCCCAACCGCGCCAGCCGCGGTCGGCCTGGTCCTGCAAGCACCTCCGCATCTCTGCGCCGAAGGCCTCCGCCGTGTCCTTCGCCAGGAGCACCATCTGCTCGAAGGGCTTCGGTGGCAAGGGGCCCACCGAGTGAAGCAAGCAGACCAGGCCTCCCCAACGCGCGGCCAGGCAACAGGAGAGTGGTCCAAGTCTTGGGACATCGAGTTTGGACTTATGGGACCAGGTGGTTTTCTTTTTCCTCGTCCCATGAGTGGTCTCATCTGCACCTCGGGCCGGGCAGAGCCCCAGATGGAGCACGGCACTCTTCTCGGGCATCGCCAGCTCCTCCGCTCGGTCACAGTCCAACAGCAGCTCCTCCCCGCCCGCCGCGCTCGCGTCGCGCGGCTTCAGGTGGACCGTGGCGCCGGCGATGAGGTCCCGCATCTCCACCTGCGGAGTAGGGTGAGAACGGTCGCCAGGTTCACCCTGTGCACCCATTTCCCATTGCAAATAGTACTCTTGCAACACAGCAATTCTGGATTCTGGATTTCTAGATTCAAGGGAGTCCCCGAAAATTGGTCGTCCTTGAAGACCATCGCCGTCTTGGGGTTCAGGGGAGGAAGAAAGCGCCCTCAAAGGATGATTAGAGTTGATCTGAGGGTTACATACTGATCAAACGACTCTAACCAAAGAATGATGCTGAGAATTAGTTGCCTATGGGAGTTGGTCTTCCGACCCCCGGCACCCAAGCCTTTGCATCTGCCAGCGCCAGGGAGGCTGCGGCCAGGCTTCCAGTAAGCACTGCACCATCGTCTTCCAGGACCAGCAAGGTGACGTCAAAGGCAGTCTTTCCATATCTCCTTGGTGCAAGCAACCTAGCATCAAAGCATATCAGAGCTAACCTTCCCAAAATGCACTGCCCGGTGGATCCAAAGCGGTCAAAGAGCACTTCTGAAACAAGCTCAAGCTCAGAAGGGCGCCGCAGTTCTTTTTTTTCGCCGGTCGATCTGAGCCGAGTGTCTCTAGAAGAATCACCGACTCCAAAGTGCTCTGCAGGATGGAGTTGTAAAGGACCGCTCGTTTCTCAGACTCCTCAGGAAACACGAAACCCAAAAAAGACCCCCCCCAGTCCAACTCTTGGTTGGGACCCTGGAGAATCCCTTGGTCAACCCCTCCTCTTTGTTGAAGTCACGCGCGCAAAAGGGCGCGAAATGCACCTCCACAAAGAGCTGTCCCTCAGCCCGTGCTTGCTGCCGATCTCGTTCAGCTTGCCGCGGGCCGTAGACTGTAGCTAAGATCTTCGTGCGGCCCTGCTCCTGGCGCAAGTCTCAATCTGACTCATGAGGGCATCAGGGTCTTCCAGGGTCTAGGACACACATTCACGGCCGCTCCAGGCGGTTTTGGTCCATTTCTTGAGGTTCCAAACCTTCAACCCAACATCACTGCCCCTCTCCAAGTAGGCAGAGCCAGCAGCATTTGGCACAGCATTGATCCGCAGCTGGCAAGGCCGCGTCTCCTCCTTCCGGCGCGTGCGCACGGACCGCTGAGGGGGCGCTTTAGGCGCATAACGCAGCGGAGCGCTGAAATCTTGGCGCTCCGGCTGCACAGGAGGCTCCCCCAGCAGCGCCATGTGGCGAAAGGCCAGCTGCCCGGAGTCTCTGTGGGAATGGGAGGTTGCAAATGGAACATGGGTTTAAGTCCAGACACTGCTTGAAGCTCATGGTCGCGTCGTTCGTGATGTCGAGCTGACTGAGTCAGATGTGGGTCAAGCTTGCTGCAACTTGGAGTCACATGAAACTCTTGGGAGACATCATGCGACAGCTTCAAAGTCTTTGCTCTTGACCACTGACACCTTTCTTGACAGCTTGAGCCAAACCAAAAAAATATATCACAAGTGTCCCAACCTTGCTTCTCAGGCTTTTTTTTCGTCATTCCCCCACCCTCTTTGTCCGCTCTAAGGCCGAGACTCAAGGGTGCGATTTGTCAGCGCTTGATGCAGTTGTGGAGTTGTCGATGTGCGGTGTTTGCCGTTGAAAAGCCTTGCCACCGTCTCGCTACGGTGGTATGTTGGGGTAAACCTTTTTACCATGCATCCATCTGGCTGGCTTAGTTGCTTTGCCGACAGCCTGTATTTGAGCCACAGGCAGCGAAGAGGCTACGCACTATGAGCAGCACTCTGTAGCTTGGCTCTGCATTTGATCACTGTTCCCTTTCAGCAAACCCTTCCAGACCTGGTTCGTCCTGCACCGGAGTATCCTGAGGAGCAGGCATGAGCAAGCACAGCTCCAGACTCCAGCTCCAACATGAATAATATGGTGCTTTCTTTTCAATGATCTGTAATCCTTCAAGTGGCAATCAGCCATCATTTTCCACCTTCACCACTACCACTCGTCGTGCCCCGCCTCGGGTGCGGTCTCCACAGCGACGTCTGGTGGAGCCTCCGGCGCGACCTCCGGAGGTGCTGCTGCCTCTGGCACTGCCTCTGGCACTGCCTCCGGCGCTGCCTCCGCCGCCTCTGGCGCCGCGTCCGGCGCTGCCTCCACCTCCGGGGCTGCCTCGGGCACTGCTGGAGGAGCTTTCCCCTCGGCCTCAGCCGTCACTCATGTTATCACCAACAGACCGGTCGTCGTGGAGAGTTTGGGGCATGACATGGTGCTCTACATGCATGGGTATGAGATCAAACATTGTCCATCGTTTTCCTCTTTTTCGAGTTAGAGATCCAACTTCATCGGCGATCATATCATTTCTCTAACTTTCGTCAACGATCTTTCACCCACACGGTCACACACACAATGGTTCCTGCTGATCCTCCGCTGAACTCATTTTTACCAAAGCAATACTCGAGATGCCGCCCTCAGGCCCTGGATCGTTTCCTTGGCAGCAAACGCTTCGGCCACATGGTGATGAGGAATCATCCGAGCCGAAACAAACACATCAATGCACGACCACCAGTCAATGGAAAAGCCTATGAGCCGCCTACAACTTGTGCAAACCCATCTGCCAGCCATATGCCTCTGAGGTGCTTCCTTCGCACCTGCAAAAAGCAACATCTTCCCCGACACAGCTTCGCTTTGGCATGATACTCCGGAGTCATGTTCCATCTTCACCCCATCCTCATCCTCCAATGCCTCTTCCAAAACGAGAAAGCTTCCGTACCCTCTCGGCCTGTTCGGCCTCCCGTCCAGTTTCCGCTCGGCCCTCCTGGAGTTGGACGACCACACCAAACGCTGCAGTCAGTTAAGCCCAAGCTGGGCGCGGCCCCCAACGGAGATGGTGCCACCCTCTCTTTTCTTCCCACTGACCAGCCTTCTTGGGTGCTTTGACTTCGGCATCGGCATTCAGCAGATCCTGAGCGATGCCGAGGACGGACACAACTCATCGGCACCCAGACACCATGGTTCTCGGGCTGGAAATGCCGCTCATTGGCTGTAAGTCGCTCCCTCTGCTTGCAGCTGCGATGCAAAATCATCATGGAAGAGCACCTGAAACTGTAAATGCACAACTCGTAGCCACACTGATGCTACTCTTGCTAGTAGCAAGGGCATCGCTATTAGTAACCTAAGTGCATCGTGATTAGTAGAAGAAGCTACTAGCAGTAGCCTTCCCATTCTCCCATTCTCCCATTCTCCCGCTCCAAAGCCGTTTCCATGTTGTCTCACAGGTCCTCTGGTCCGTCGGCCGTTGCCCCAAAGGGTCCAAACGTTGCGGAACATTTCTCCCCAAAACGAACGGTGATCTTTTCTTTCCCGGTGGCCCCCCCGCAGCATTCGGAGGCCAACGAATTTGGGTATTTTGGACCACCCGATTTCGCTGTATATGTTGTCCTTTACGACCAGACTAGACTGGGAGGTCCACCTACGTGGTCTTGCCTTCAAATCTTCTTCCCAACGCGGCCCAATGCACCAACAACAGCAACACGCCTCGCCGGTAGCAGCTTCCGTTTCCAGCATCGTCAGCAAGGCATCATCATCTTCGTCGCTGGCGGCCTCACAAAGGTTATCCTCTCACTAAACATTAAACAGGAAAAGGTTACACTGGCCTCACAATGATGGGTGAGTTACAACTTAAGTACCTTGGATGAGATCGTTTGGGAAACGATTCGAACTATCCACTGGGTCTTCCATCCAACAAATTGAATACCATACTATCACCATAGAGTTCCTCCAAAGCCTGCAACAAAAATTGAAGAAAGGGCATAAGAAAAGTGCTCAGGGCCTCGTTGGCCTGAAGCCTGGCCAATTGCTTCTTCTTTCGCTTTCCTTGCTTCTTTGGCAAGGTTTTCTCTGTCTCCTGGTCACAACACGAACTCGCGCGTGAACCGCTGGAGTTCTCGCGAGTTCACATGACTGGATGGGCGAACAATCGAAGGTGACTCAAGCAGCTCCTCAAGATCTTCATTTGGAACATCTCCTGGAGCTGCAGCGGTGCAGACCGGTGCATCTCTGAAGATGTCAAGATATTATATGAGTGCTGTAGGTTGAGCAGTTTCTTCGGCGCGCTTGTGTTGAACACTTCCAAAACTGAACCAAGACCTTTTTCACTTACCCCAAAATGAACCAAATCGCTGCGTAGCCGCTGGACTCCCTCCCGCCAAGATATGAACCAACTTCCCGCCTGACAATGATGAGAGGTTCAAGCAGACCGACACAAACTTGGTCGCAATCTCCTCGCAACGTGTGCGGAGTCTGGCAACCTTTTCCCCTAGGCAAGTCTGGCAACCTTTCTCCGACGACTGCAAAGATGGTGATGAAAATAGAAAAGAACAACAAAAGATGTATTTGTTCAAAAAGAACCATGGAACAACCCACATACCGTACTAAGTTCTGGAAACTAAAGAACTGCCCAACTTGCACAAATGGGCTCAGTGCACGCTTGCGCGGATTCCTTTCGGTACGTGGGGTGGAATCGCTTCCTGGGCTGCAACAGGTTGACGAGTCTGTCCTCTTCGCCTCTCAGGTTTCAACACAACAACAAGAAATGACTTATCCCAGCTACCTGCTGATCCTGCTAGCCTGGAAGCGAACGCACCAGAAACCTAGGATGTTTTTGAGGGCTGATGTTCCTGATGGCCCATCAACACAAGTGTATAAAGTAAGTAAAACACCACATCCTGCCCTCACTCGAACTCGTACATACTCTTCAGCTGAAGGAACTGTCGACCATCCGCCACTGACCCCCAATTTCATATTGGCTCCTTGACCTCTTGATAATCCAAAGATCAATCAAAAAAACATACAAAACAAACAGCATCTGCCCTACCACAGGTTGACACCACCAACCGTGCCAATGGCACGCCCCATCGACCCATCGACCAAAGCTTCACTTGGCTCTGGAAGACCCGATGGAGCAAGCGCAGCTGCGAGGCACCACAGTTGGCCATGGCGCCTGGAGCGAGGCAACGATGGGAGGACACGACCTGGGACAACAAATCGCCACAAAACAAAGGGAGGACCAGACATCTGGGGCAAGAAGATGGTCTGCTTCTTTTGCCAGAGCTGTGCTGTTTTCTGGATCGACCGTGTCGAGGTGAACCCACCCAACACTCCTATGGTGCTGGCTGCATGGGGTCGGGGCCACTTGACTTTGTCAAGAGGCAACCCGTGCTTGATGAAGGATATCAGAACTTGAGTCCACAGTCAACATGCACGGATTGCGTCTTCACAGACGCCATCAGTTGACTCCACACCAGCGATGCCTAAGAACGGAACCCTTCCAAAAAATTAAGAGTAAAAAATGAGATGTATACCAATGGTATGTGGACGTGCGTGTTCTCCACCAGCCACAGCCTAAGAGGCCTAAGGTCACCTTCCTTCTGGGGGGGGGGCGTCAGGAGAGATTTCTTTCCTCATCAACTCACCTGGGGTCTGTCGGGCCCCGCCAACCCCCGGCAGTTCACACGGTCGGACCGCCACGCCAACCCCCAGCGCCGGGGGCCCAACACACACGCCTGCCAAGGCCGTCCATCCTTCTTGGTCTCCCACAGCCAGGGTCGACTGGGCCGATCGCAAGGATTGCGATCGACCAGAGAAGGAAAGGAGCTGGGTGACTGGGCGATGCTGAAGGATAATTCCACCTGAATATGGGATATACTCTTTGGTGAAGAATGCTTATTTCATATCCTCTTTGGTATTTTACACACTACACACTCGCACGAAGAAAAAACTGGTGAGCAACATGCCTGCTCAAAGTCAAAAAACGAACTGAACTCAAAATCATGCTTGGAATGCTGCAGGCTTTGGAGCTCAATCTGAAAAAGAAGTGGTCCACTTAGCTTTCTGCAAGCAAGGCTCATAGTTAATCACCTGCGCCTGAGGTTGTGAAAACAAAGGCGCCTGTCTGCACTTCTCTGTCTTCCTTGATGCCCCAACATACTAAATATAATCTCTACATAAAACAGTCATGACAATCATGCCTGACAATCATGTTGCCTTTATACGATGGTCCAACCGTCATCTGGAGCTTTTCATTTGACTGTGACTTGGTAGTCAATATAAACATCAGAGGCGAGAGTCTGATGCCAGAGCGGCCCGTAGCTTCACATCTGGAAAGGGCAGCGCCTCACACGAACTGGGCGCTGCAGTCACACATGGCACGCAGTCTGCAGAAACAGCGTTGTCTGGGGATATATATATATATATAACAGTCAATGCAGTCACCCATTGTGTTCACACGTTCCATGAATGGAGCTACAGAGATTCATTCAATCCGACGCAGGTCACATCACATGCTCTGCCAGCTCGGATGGATTTGCGCCTTCGGGGAAAAGTAGGGAGGTTCAAAATCCTGCAAGCAGTTCACAATTGTTAGCAAGATCATGTCTTCTTGCTTGAAAACACGCTTGAAAACGCGCGTGAAAACGACCTGCCAAACTTTGAGCTCCAGCCATCTGTCCCAGTGGATGGTCAAGGTCCATACCGTGCCGCACCGTCTCTCACAAAAAGAACGGGTTGTTTCCTGGATGAAAACATTCTATTTTTGAGTCGAGCAATGCTTCAGCTCGAGTCGTGTGGAGAATCTTTCCGCTTTCACTTCGCACTCCTGCGTGCTAAAGCCTCGGAGGTTGCAAGCCAAGGAAATGCTTTTAGCCAACTCACACGACAGAAAAAGGAAAAAGCAATGCAACCAGCTGTGTCTTGGACTTGATCTTGCAGTCTGAATCACCCATGTCATTTACTTCACCCAGTCTGAATCACTTAGGTTTCCATTGTGTTCTGGCCATCAGGGCTGTCTCAATCCCCCGTGTCTTGTCTAAATCCTTTGTTCACCCAGGATGGACCCTTGGAACTTCTAGAAGCCGGATGGGAACCCCTTCGGAGCGGCAGAAGCTGCAAAAGATAACAACACACGCTTCAAGAGCCAACAGAATTTTGGTTTGGAATATGGAGATGATCCCACCATGTTCAAGATAGCACCAACCTTTGAGAATCAAAACTCTCCCAACCACCGTTTCTTCCAAAAGCTCCGTCCGAGGCTCCGAAGGACAAGGCCACACGCGGCGGAACTGCGGCGGAGCTCCGGCCAGCACTGCCCCAGTGGATGGTGCGATGCGTATGGAAGGTGCAGCCTGAAAACGTCCAGGCGAACGCCGCGGCGCGGTTTGTGGCGCCCGTGTGGTTGCTAGACTGGTGCGGGAGGTTCTCTGGATTTACTCGCACCTGCCTACGCATCTTGTGAAGCCTCTCCTGATGTTATGCTCTGCAGGTTAATTTCAGCACGCCGTCTTCTCGGCTCTTCAGATTGCTTGCCTTCTCCGGATGAAGTCTAATCCCCAAACGTTCTTTCTTCTTTCACCGCCATGCCACACTTCACTAGCACTCGACCGCCAATCCTTTGTTTTCACACGGCCCACTGGCGCGCGTGGTCGGCCTCCAGCCGCCACTGGCACGCTGCGGATCTTTTGGTAGGCGGCCTAGAGGGACATGGTCCAATCCACAGTGGGACGTGGTCACACACAAGCCGTGCACCGAAAAGGCCCAGAAACCAAAAGTATCATCGAAAAGAAAAGCCACTTCCCATCTTGCTGAACAGCTCATTGGGTGATCTTCATGTTTCTTGATTCATGAAGAACCCAAACAATGGACAACCGGGTTTGTCACCTTTCACGATGCACCCACAGGACCTATCCTTGTCTCTGGGGCTCTTCTCCCCAGCCCTGGGTGCCTTATCCTGGAAGATCCTCAACAAAGGATCGCCCTCTTCTGGATCTCCTGCCGAGTAGCCTCAGGGGAGAAAGCCCCCTGAACCCACCGAGCAAAAGCCATTTGGGAATTCCACTGAATGAAAGTGGTCACACAGGTCGCATGGGTCGATGCTGCTTGCACCCTTCCAACAGGGTCCGGTGCCTGGATCGATGCTCTTTGGCACGAAGTGCAAGCAGGAATTGTCAGGAGTGGCATCTGTCAGCGCAGCCCAGAGCGTCACATACTTGGCCATGCCATCCTTTTGAGGATATTTGGCAAAAAGAAAGCTTGTGGGGGCCTGGGCCTGGGAGCATGTGCTGAGATGTGGGGGCCTGGAAACGGTTCTTGTGTGATTCTTTGTGATTTGCTTTGAAACAAGGTCCAACGAAAAATGCGTCTTTGACATGTCCAACATGTCAAATGACATTGGACATGCTTGAATGGTTCTTTGACATTCTTATGCCGTATCTTTGTGATTGGCTTGTGCTTGACATTGGTCCAACTCTCCGAGTAGTGAAGAAAAGAGACTCTCAGACGTGTCTGGGAGAGTCTCAGACCTCATAGAAGCCAAGCATACAAGCCGAACAAACCAACCAAACAAACCAGAGCACTCCCAAACAAACCACCCACTCAGTCTTCCTTCCCTCCCAAAGCTCCACGTGGCCGGTCTCCTTCTTGAAGGTGCTACAGGTCTCCGGCGCAGCGCCCTTGGGCACCCAGTCTTCAGGTTGCCTAACGAGATGCCAACGACGTCCTCACCAAGCCCAGTCTTCGGAACGTCACGGAACCCATTCACGTCTTCGCGAAGTTCCGTTCACGTCTTGTGGAACCTTCTTCGCCCTAAAAGAGTGATAAAGTGACCTTTTAAAGAATGGAAGGTAAAGAAAGAAGTCCAACTCGCAAAAGTCAATGAATTGAACATCCGTCCAATCTTGATGCCTCTACAGGCAAAGAAAACCTGAAACACAAATGACCATTCCTTGTTGGAAATCCAGCTTCGAGTCCTCAAACGAAAGAACTCCACATCCCGCCTGTCCCGATGCGGTGAGAAGCCTTTCGTCTGTGAGGGACGCACCAGGAATGCCACCACATCCATGCAAAGGCCTCATGGAGCGAGCCAGCGACCACGAGGTCCCCAGTCCAAAACACACCTGTTTCTACTAGCTTCTTGTTCCTAGTAGTAAGAATGCTCCTAGTAGCGATGCCAGGAGCCCCTAGTAACTTCTTGTTCCTAGTGGTAAGGCCGGAGCTCCTACTAGCTTCTTGTTCCTAGTAGTATGGCCAGGAGCCCCTACTAGCTTCTTGTTCCTAGTAGCAATGCCCTTTGCTCCTAGTAGCGTCCAAAACACACCCATTCCACGCATGCAAGGAGCTGTTTCCCGTGACTTGCTGCATCACTTCGGCCGCATCCCTGCCAGGAACGCAGGTGCCAAGCAGCAGCTGATATAAGTACACTGAGCTCAAGCGGCCAGACCGCATGTCTCTATACACCTTCAACTTTCGGGCTCAGAAATGCTTGGATTCTATTTTGGGGGGCAGCTTATGATGTGCCACATCAACTGGTGCCTCGCCATAACCCAAGCTTCGTCATACATGGCGATGAAGCTGGCCGGCCAACCATGCTCTTCGA